CAATGACCTGAAACGATCTGGCTGCTGAATACGTAATTCTCTCTCTTGCAGTTTCACTCATCGCCTTTACAGCCATGGCTATCCTTGCGCTCTCAGAATTTTTGTATTTTCGTGAGACGTGGATGAAGTACAGTTATGAAGTAGACAAAGATTCAACAAGGTATGTATTAACTATTAATTTCCGAAGACATAACTTGGGCATGCACATGAAATATATCGATATCCACCTATTAAAAACGATTCTCGACTAACACTTAATACTTTCATGTGTGTTCATTTTTGCAGCAAATTAAGGATAAATGTTGACATCACTGTAGCAATGAAGTGCCAATGTAAGTACAAGGCATACATATTTTAATAATTTATACTCTTAATAGCACCAATGTCTGCATCCTAACCAATGTTTTTCATTGCCATCATGTTTGGGAACATGACACACTGATGTGCCTTATCTAATTCCGCTCGTTGTTGCAGATATCGGGGCGGATGTGCTAGATCTTGCGGAAACAATGGTGACTGCTTCGGACGGGCTCATCTATGAGCCGGTACGGTTGCTGTCGCGTGCGTGTTTGAGCTGTGATTTTTTTTCACGTCAGTGACATCCACCAAAGAATGTACCGTAATGTATTCTCAGTGTAGAGGAGTAATGTGAGTAACCAATAAGGGGGCGAACAGAGGGAGGTGCGAGTGGGTTGACAGTCAAGGATGACGTAACGTCATGGGTTGTGTAAGGGGCTTCGGAGAGCACCTTCGGGAACATGGGCGGGGCCGAGCTGGGGGGAGGATCCGCCCAAGGGGTTCTTAAGGGGGACCCCGTGACGAAGGCGTGGTCGTCGTGGGGGGTAAGGATCGGCTGAAGAGGGTCTCTCTCTTCTTGGTTCTTTCGGTAAAGTCACGTAGAATGGAAATAATAAAATAATAAAAATAAAACATAATAAAATAATTCTCACGACGTTTCGGCCACAACGCAAGCAGCCGTCCTCAGGTGGAGAGCAGGTCCGTCGAGGAGACAGTCTGAATGAAACGTCGTGAAAATTATTTTATTATGTTTTATTTTTATTATTTTATTATTTCCATTCTACGTGACTTTACCGAACGAACCAAAAAGATGAATTCCTGCAGTCACGAAAGCTTTAAATCGAAACTTAGGGTCTCTCTCCTCGTCGTGGAGCGGTGCTGGCTGAACCCCCGCTCCGGGCAGACGAGTGGGAGAACCAAGGGGGATAGCCGAGGGTAGGACCAAAATAGTATTCAGTGTCCGGGGTAAAGGACCGAGATAGAGTGAGTGCACTTACACTGGTGCGAGTGTAGGATGTCGAGTGTGAGAGTGTTTTAATGAACGGCAACAGCCCTTATAGTATTCCTCGTCTCCGCGTGGTTCTACTGCACAACATTAGTCATGGGGATGCTGCCGTGGTGTAGCGGATGGCCCCATTGCACTTGCTACCGAGAGGTCGCCAGTTCTATCTCAATGGGCTTTTTTTTTTACATTTCTCTGCGGCTGTCCACCCAGCAGAATAAATGGGTACACTGCAGTCGATCGGAAGGTGACGTGTGGTGTGGTTTAGTGTGGGTAATCCTATATCTTGCCAGCGTGGAGGAGTAGAATAACTCAACAATGACTTTTATTTCATTAGGTAAGACCCACTGAGCTATATAGCTCTTTTTCAAGAGTGACCTGGCGATAAATGATAGCTCAATGAAGCGGCTTACCATCATGTGGAAATATATAGCAGCCGAATTCTCTAAACGCCTGTTTCTAAATGTGGAGGGTAAAACCTGAGGACCCGGAGAAAAATCCACACGACCACGAGAAGAACATGCAAACTCTAAATTTACAGGCATCAGGGTGGGGATTGAACCCACAATCTCCTGCATACCAGGCGAGGTAGTTAACGTCTCGCCAGCGTGGCGAATAAATATACCCTTTCGGGATGGCCTCTATGTCTCCCTCAAGTTGAGACTCTTCTGCCAGCAGTGGCATGAGCAAGTAATTGCAGGGTTGCCTGTTTTACTTAGATTTTCGCTAATTTCGCATATGTGCATTGCTAGTTTTAACCTGTTGAATTCTTTAGAAAAGCATAGCACTTTGCAAATAATTGAAAGCCACCTCAATGATGCGCCACACCATAATGTGAAAGGTGGAACAAAGGTTTGTGTACTGATTGCATTAATTGTGCATCTTTTTTACATTTTGCAGGTTCACTTTGAATTATCACCATTGCAGAAAGGTTGGCAGAGGTATGCAGCACTTGTCCATGAAATGTCTCTTCATGTTAATAACGGTTATTGTGAATTCTTACTCATAAAACTAACTGTCCAACCATAAAAACTTATGGTAGGTTGAGTTGAGAGAGTCTTCTGAAATGATAGGGAATACATGAAGATGACCTCTGAGATAAATAGTGGCAAAGGTTAAAATTATTTTGAAATTGGCAAGTTTATTAGTTGATTCAGAGATGACTATGAGACTTTTGGAATTGCCTAATGTGGGCCCTTACACAAATTCCTGTAAAATCTTAGTAGTATTGTGCATTGCAATGTTGTACATCTCCATTTTGTCTTAAATTCCAAAGTGTATTGAAACACCTTCATGCTATTAAACCACACATGTGAAATGAGTTTCTGTCACTGTATTTACAGGATGCTACAGATTATACGCAGTAAGCTGCACGAGGAACACTCGCTACAGGATGTGCTCTTCAAGACCGCATTTAACGGTGCCCCTACCATCATGCCTCCCAGGTATATGTCCGAAATTGTGTGCTCACAATAAAAATTCAAGTAAAAATGCCATGTAATGGATGGCAGTAAAAGTTTTTGAATGCTTGGGAAACCGTTTGGGTTTTTTAAGCTTAAATTTCCACACCCACGTGCCTCTGCATTGATGGGAAACGTTTTAACCCTTCACTGATGTTATTAAAAGCACTGCGGGGCAGAGGTCGCAATCGGGTACCCGATACCCGTACCCTATCTGATACCCGGCTACCCGTACCCGGCCGGGTATCGGGTAGGGTACGAATACGGGTAGGGTACGGGTACCCGTTTGCGACCTTGGTGCGGGCGGGTACGGGTACGGAATCAAAACCCGTTTGCGACCTCTGCTGCGGGGCTTGAAGGCTATGCGATAACGGAGAGTACCTTAACCTCCAGCACGTTCTCGTTTTTAAACGAAAATTATTTTTCATAATCAACGTTTTTGGGTTTAGATCGCGTTTATTTATAAATGTGTCGTAACCCTCCACCACCCGACACGGCCAATCAGTAAAAATGTGTCACGTTGACAAAGACAAATAGTTCACTGCTTTAGCCCACCGGTGTGTTGAAGCCACAACATTTACAATTTGAATACGACGTTTCGCTGGTATTTGCAACCAGCATCATCGGGCAATTCGCCAGAATAAATAAACGCGATCTAAACCCAAAAACGTTGATTATGAATAACATTGGTCGCGAAAGCCTACGTGTTAAACTGAAAATTATTTTGTTTGAGTGCGAGTCAAATTAATAACCGTTGACAAACGTATATTATCCAACCTGCATTTATTCTGGTGAACTCTTCAGTGCATGGATGTGGGAGTTTGCGTGAGACTACATACATCATTATTAATGTCTACAGCCGTTTTCACCCAATGTGCCCAAGCTCATCAGTTCTTGCAAGCTTTAGCAGGGTAGAGCTTAGTTAGTATTTGGATGGATGGCCACCAGGGCTTGCCAGGTGTTGTGGGTGTGGGGATGTGAGGTGGGCAGGAGATGATAGTGTATTGTGTTACCCCTCCTATGCTTGGTGCGTTTACTCCAGACACTCCCATTTTCTGCATACATGAAGTCAAACACTGATTAATGGAAGTGATCAAACACCCCAAGGATACTCCTGAAATTCAGATTCCCCTTGAAAAGCCTTGACTTAGTGAGCTTTTCCTGGCTGAAGGACATCACAGGTGTACATCTGTACATTTGGGTGGGATTCTTGAAAACCTGAACTGAAGGTGAAAAATCATACTTTTTGTTGAAACTATCTTCCCATAAGGTCCCATTATATGACCTAAGATGCGTTTCTACGAACATATTTTCTGACCCAAAATCTACTCAAATAACAGTTTGCAACACAACTAAGTAATTTTCAACCATAAATATGGAGAATAATTACTCGACAGGTAATACAAAAAATGCTGCATACTGTCATTTACTAATCATAAATTAGCCCACATCGTACGAGGTCTTGTTCGATGATGCTGTGGTGAGGATTGGAGGGGGTACAGGGAGGGTGAGGGAGGGACAGGAGGAGTGTACATTCCAAAGCGTGGGGGAATGGACAGTATTTTGATATTTCAACCAAAAAAATATCATTTAGGATTTGAAAAACGTAACAACAAAACAAACGAGACGTAAAACGGAAAAAAGTTTTACTTTCTGACCGTAATTACACATAATCGTAAATGTAATTCATGTATATCGGTGTACACTTTTCCTCAGTGGGTAGCTGCAGTGCAGTAATTGAACTGTAATGAAAAAGTAATGTCATTAGAAAAGTGATACCGTTCCAATGTAATCATTGCCTGCATTGGAATGGTTTTAGTTGTCAATCGATGCCCCTGTAGGCAAGCATTTCATGCATTTCCATCCTAATGAAAGGACACCAGTATAGGGAATTGATTTGTATGACTTGTTTTGCATTGTGCCACTTTGTCTCACCACAGTACGTGGAATTGCCTATAACCAATTCACGTGGAATGTGCCCAATATCATATCAGGAAAGCCAAGGAGAGTTTAGCTTTGTTGATGTTTCGATAAAAGACCTATCTTGATTCGAAGCTTTCGTTACTGGAGGAATCCATACTCTTTGGTTCTTTCGGTAAAGTCATGTAGTCACATAAAAGCCAGGAGGTGGCAGTACAGGAATGGATTTTTGAACCTATGTGTGTGGTGCTTTCAGTTTTTACCGCCTCGTATGCTTGCATATTATTGACTATTTGATCTTCTCCTACAAGCCAAACACTCATTAATGCAATTGGCCAAACATTTGAATGTGGGAATTCTCCTGAAAATTTCAGGAAAGCCTCGCCAAACGCGAGGGTTACATTCCTGAAAAATGCCGTTTTGGGCAAAACTAAGTTCGACAAATAATATGCTTTATAGGAAAAATCGGGTTGTGTTCTTGAGTCCGAAATCATAATTATTTCCCTCTTTGTTTAACTAATTCTACAAGCTTTCTGCCCTTTTTATTGTACTACAGGATGATGATTCGCACTGCATTTCTTGCGTCTACGTACACTCAATTTCACCTCAACACAAAACCCCCATCTTCTCTTCCCGCACCGTGGCACTCACGTCCAACGATCGTCCCTGACACCGAATTGCCAGCCCTGACGCTCGCCCTTAACGCTGTCAATTGAACGTTAACGATTGGCCATCTCGGCGTCCGTATGACTGACGTCCTCAACGAGTGGACGGCTAGATGAACGTTTGCGTTGTGCGTGCATATTAATGTTTGTGTTTTTTAGGGAGGAGATCCCACAGGGATTGCCTGATGCCTGTCGAATACACGGTTCATTGCTCGTCAACAAGGTGGCTGGAAACTTCCACGTGACGGTCGGAAAGTAAGTAGGTGACACTGCACCGTCTGGGTCCCTTCGCTTGCTCACAGGACATGAAGCAACATGTACCTTTGCAACCTCCGGAATGTGTTATCTCATTTTAGTGATACTGTTTATGCAAATGCCTTGTGCATACTGTGTATCAGCACATGTTCGCTAAGATAAAGTGTTGCTCAGAGAGTGCAATATAAACGTACGTTTAGATGTGATTGATATTATTTGATATATGAAATCGTTTTTACTTTCTGCGTGCCATTTCTAATTTGCAAGTGTTTCATATTCTTGTTTTAATATGGTGTACGTTCAAAAGAACTTGACACCACTGCTAATGTGCTGGGATGTTTGCCAGAATGTATTGTTTTAGTATCGTGTTTCCTCATGTTGTGTTAGTCACCAAGCATGGAGAGCATGTCTACTGTCCTCGTCACATTACGGTGTCTGTCATATGATATACTTTTAAACAGAATGGTTATTTTATTTAACCATGACCCTCATTAGGCATGCATAGCCTGAAGCTCTGGCTTGTGTCTCTGATCAGGTCACACTCCATGTGACCTGGCCCAGTCCTGCTTCCGCGTGAGATATTACGTTGTGTTGCATGTACACTTCGAATTGAAGGCCCTTGGCAAAATCACCATGCACCAACTGGGTGCTTTCGGCTGCGGGGTTGTGTGTTTTGAAGCAGAGGACAGTTCAGCAAACTCTATTGTTGTATACTTCTGTGGTCCCCCGCTTTCAAAAAATCCACGCTACCAGCTTGGTATAGTATAATAAGTCCCACGACCTATGAGCCATAGAGAGGTCCTCATCGAGTGGTCGATTAACACAGCGGCTGTAAATTTACATGATGATTTCAAGATATCATTGACCCCATTGGTGCTTATGTATTGTCTATCATTGTTTGCGTTTCTCAGGGCGATTCCACACCCTCGGGGACATGCACACTTGGCTGCTCTCATCAGCCACGATGGTGAGTGCCAAGGTCCATTGCTTTGTTTTTGAAACGAGTAGCCGTTCATAATTTGCTAAAGGATCAAGGCAAAAACCAACATTGCATTGTGTTATTCAAGAAACCAGGTTCCGATTAACAACAGTGGTGATTTTTCATATATATGAGCAGTGGTATCATTACGGTTGCAAGGTCGTAGTGGATGCCAGAAATTTCATATGAGGAAAGATTGAAAAAAAAACTTGTGATGACCTCTTGACTTGCATGTTGAATGGTATACTGTAATGGTTTCACGGCCCTTTTAATCATTGTGTGATGTTGACTTCTGGGCCAGGTTATTTCATGAAATGCCTTCGTTTGTGTAACCATGACTCAGAGTGCGCATAATTTCACATGGGTGACATCCCAAATACTTATGTTCTTAACATTTTGTGTCCCATGCAGCGTACAACTTTTCACACCGTATTGATCACTTCTCCTTTGGGGAGCCCATCAGTGGCATCATTAACCCCTTGGATGGTTCCGAGAAGGTGTCCACTTCACGTGAGTCCTCTTGATCATGTAATTCATTTGCTGTAAATTTCATTCTGTCATAGAAGAAAAAATGTGAATTGTTTACAGTGTTATACATGGATAAGTTCAAATGGATCATTTTGAAAAGTCAAGCTTTTATGTATATGAAGACAAGAACAAATGTATGATGGGACCAAATAACAATGAAACTGAGAATGTTGAAGCTGGCCCAAAGTGTTCGCTTGCCTAAATAAATGCTGCTTTATAATATTAGGAAAGCGAATAGGCCAACGGGCTAAAATAGATTAGCCCGGCAGTTGGCGAAGGCCCACCCCTGTAATCTAGCACTGTGGAGGCGAGGGTTGGCGGATCGAACGTATGTTGTGAAACATACTCTGGCTTGCAGTCCAGAAAAGTGCAAACTATTCTCATCTGTCCCCTTCTGTATCAGGGTCGAGTGTTGCACCTTCTCACGTGTGGAATTTCTCCAGGTGCTCTGGTTTCCTCCAGTGTGTAAACACCCTTGAATTAGCCGACAACAACTGTGGCCTGCTCACCGCCTGGCTGCCTTTGCAGCTGATCTGTGGTTCTGCCGCGATTGTGGAAATTTGCATGAAAGATTCTATGTAAAAGTCAACATTAAATTATAGTGTTTGTATGTAAAGACACAATGGATTTATCCTCATGCTTTACTTTAAAGAATATGAATCCACCCCATATTGCATTACTCGTGCTTTAATAGTTTACAATCGTGTTGGTGTGTGGCATTTTCCTGTTCTGCATTCATGGCTCATGATGTCGGCTACGCTTGTATTGCAGACTCTCACATGTTCCAGTATTTTCTCACCATCGTGCCAACAAAACTACACACATACAAGTTCACAACGGACACTCACCAGTACTCCGTCACAGAAAAGGTGGGCCACTTGTGGAAGGGAATGCTGGCAGCCGTGTCCATTGATTCTTCGCATGGCTGGCTTTCGCTCTTCCCTTCTGTCGCACCGTGCTGAGCTTAGGGTTGCTATCTGAATATAATTTTTGTAGCATGGACCTCGAATCAAGGTGTGTCTCGTCAGCTCTGTTTCCGTTACTTTACTCCTTAAAAAACATGCATGCATGCTTTGACGATGTTGTCCACGGATATGTGACATTGAAGTTCGTGTTCGTGCGTGATCTCTGTTCCATATTTTCTCCAATTTAAACTTAGACAACCCTAATGCCTGTGCTGGATACGATTTGTCGCTGTTACTGTGACACGACCAAATTGCCTGTTTGTGTTTGTGCTCTAACGGCCGTGTTTGTCTTTCTAAGCCTTGGGCCGTCGCACTCACGCAATGCTGCTTCATGTTCGATCCCCGCATGTCACGACGCCTGCCGCTCACCCTGCTCCTTACTTATGCCAGCTCGCAGTGATGACCTCGTGGCTTCCATTCTCTACAAATGAGGGTGGTGTCGATGAGCAAGATGTGACCGCTGCTTTTATTGGAGAGTTGGTACAGCTCTGCAATTAAAGCGGGAATTACTTATTGGCTTCTCAACTTTAGGGTGCACCTAGTTTTACTTTGTGAAGTAGGGGTTACAGTTAGTGGGGAGAATATTAAATATTATATTTTGCAGAGGAAACATCTTTGTTTTAGATATGTGAGCATTGTGGGTTAGGCGTCAGTTTCGTGCCAATGCACAGAACTATGTTTTGGTCTGCTAGCAAGTGACTAACATGGACACTTTCTAAAGGCTTAAGAAGCACGCATTAACATTTGCTTGAACCTCATTTAATTATAACATTTTACAGCCCTCTTGTCGATCCATTGCTGGATGAAGGCCTCCCCACACTGTTTATCTGATGATACTTTATAATGCTGATCATTGCGGGTTGGTGAAGCGAAGCACCCAGGACCAGTTCAGATATTATAGTCATGAATTAAACACGAATTGATAGGCTCTTAGTGCAGTGCACCGCTGCTCGATTTTATTATGCACTTAATAACACAAGCAAACCGCTTGGAAGTGTATTTCAAACCTCCACCACTGCTGACGTTGAGCTAGATAATTAAATAGGATTTCCCACTCAAATACACATTGGGCGGCATTGCATCTCGTGTTTAAAGCCCCCCCCCCCCCCCTGAGCTTGGTGGAGGAAATTGCACATTGCTGTGGTGGAGGTTCATATTTTCATAGAATAGCAACTAATATAAAAATGTAGGAGATTTCAATATATTGTGGCCTGCTGTATTAATATACTGTAGGTGAGAAACACAACTTATGCATTTCATTAAAGGTATATTTTTTAACATTTTACGCAAAACGAGGCTTTATACCCCAGGTGGTGTTACCCACTTATATCCTCAACTATTTGTGAGCAAGTGCCTCCATATGAGCTAAACCGCAGGAGCATTGCACAGCGACACAGGGTGGCACGATGTTTACTACCTCGCCTGGTATACAGTCAGGTCGTGGGTTCGACCCCGACGCCTGCTGTATATTTGGAGTTTGCATGTTGTGTCCCCATGGTCGCGTGGATTTTCCTCCGGATCCTCCGGTTTTTCCCTCCCCATTTAGAATCAACATGCGTTTGGAGTATCTCCACGTGATAAGCCGCCTTGTTGAGCTATCATTGGTGGCCAGGTCGTGTCTGAAAAGAGTGGGCCCCTTACCTGGTAGATAAATAAGTATAACCCGTAAAAACAACGTTTTTCACTCTAAATCCTTTATATGCGTGGCGGCTAGAGTCCTCTCGTCCTCTGGCTTGAGATGGCTGCCACCTATGGGTCAGATGATTGTCTGCAGTATTAAACAATTGGTAATTAAATATTTAATTTGTTTTCCCTAAACAGTGTAAAATTTAGGGAAAAAAATTTCACGAACATTAATTGTCTCGCACAACGAGTCTGTGTGCAAAATGTCAGCTCCATTGGATCACGGGAAGTGTGTTAAAAAACGACCGAAAGGTTTGCACAGTCGTAAGCAGCGCAAGCACGCAAGCAAGCAAGCAAGCGAACTTAATATAAAGGATTTAAAAAATAGTCTTTAGCTGTATTAATTAACCTCATCAGCTGGGAGAGGCCGTAGTGTGAAAAGGGACATCGGGCGAGGGCTGACGGCGCGGGGGGTGTGCACAGGAGCGCGTGATAGACCACGCGGCAGGCAGTCATGGCGTGTCGGGGATCTTCATGAAGTACGACCTGAGCTCACTCATGGTGACCGTCACCGAGGAGTCCATGCCGCTGGGACAGTTCTTCGTGCGCCTCTGCGGTATTGTTGGCGGCATCTTCGCCACCACAGGTACGTGATTTTCGGCACCGGCTTGACCGCGAGGCCAAACAGACATCATGGCATAGTTCGAGCCACCGTACATATGTGCATATGTTAAAGTTATTTTGTACCGTATGTAGCAAACCATGCTAATCTTCTACATACAGCGCGTCTTTAAAATGACATGGGTAGATACCATGTCCCGCAATTAACATGGTTTCGGGGGTTGAGTATCCCATTGAAAAATCGTATCCACGAAGCTCAAATGTTGAACAGTATGTACAGCAAAGCAATTCTGAGATGTTTGCGCAGAAACGTCACGCCTGGTAGTCCCGGTTTAATACTGTACTGCAAAGTAACTATTCTAGTACTGGGCCGTGCATTCCAACATTGGATTGTGATTTAAACCGATCTCGTCAGATATTGCGGCAGTTGAAATTGTAATTGTTTTTCAAATCTTAAGTTGTATTATACCGCTGTGGTGTAATGGTTAGCACGCTAGACTTGCAAGTGCGTAAGGTGGCCACTTTGATTCCATTTTCTGGCTTGGCAGTTGGAAAAATGGCCAGGTTTCTCATTTCTGTCCCACATCTGCCCACCCATCCATATAAATGAGTACACCACAGTGAGAGTCAATAGGTAGGCTGTGTGTGGTGGAGTAAAGTGTGGGTATACCCACCTCTTCTAACAAGTTTGGTCAACATGGAAGAGTAGACCAACTACCCTCAAGTTGGCTGTAGTGGAGCCCTTTCTGCCAGCATCAGTGTGAGCAAGCAATTGCAGAATCATACCTCGACTTTTTTTTCATATAAATTGAGCACCGAAACATAACATTACAAGCTGGAATTAAAATTTTGTAGAAATATTTTTGGTTAAGAGAAAATAACATATGGGCCAATCCTGTTGAATTAACCAAGACAGCCATTTACTTAATAGATGAGGTTCACAAGGTTGAACCAGGACCAGGGATATCCTGATTAAACAAAATGCTGCTGGAAAATATTAGTCCGGAAGATTGAAAAGCCAATGAACATAAAAGCAATATTATTTTACAATGCAAGATACTTCCTGCGTCTGTCCATTGTCTTCTCTCGTTGGTCACGTAGCTTTTCTTGTAATAGCTACGAGGCAGGCCTCGTGTCTTGTTCAGTGCCATGAGCCAGTGGTCGAAATTCCAATAGACAGGGCAAAGTCTTATCTCTCGGGAAAGCAATGTCAACTTCCCACAGTGCATCTCTTTTAGAGAGTTCGATTAAGGGACTGTGCTGAACCATAACCACCAACTGGCCACTTGCACGAGCGTATGTACCACCTCGCTGGCTTGTTACTTTATTTGCTTACAAGTCTTAATATTTTTGCAAACGATATCAAATATGGAAGCCCGAGTAAATATAATAAATAATTTAAACAGTACATAAGCAGTACAATAATATATTTGTGGACATTTTCCACAAGCAATGTTTACTTTTTAATTTTACCTTTTGCAGTCTAATATTCATACGAGTAAAATATTTGGATAAACAATGCTGCTTCTATCTTAGAACTCTTCCATAATACTGGTAGTGCTATTGAAACCTTATGGTGAAAATGATTTAACACACCTGTGTGCATATAATTGGATAGATTGACACGTGATTATTTATAGATGTGTGGTAACATAAAGGTATGTGTATAGCATTCAGTTACATCATCTTCTATTGCTCTTGCTGTATTGTCCAGTTATGGATACACTCTGGAACTCATTTAATGGCAGTGTCCCCCCACCCCCATCTTGAATGTTTCCAAACCCCTTGGCAGGGATGCTACACGGGCTGGTGGGCTTCCTGGTGGATGTGGCTTGCTGCCGATTCCATCTCGGGGCCTACCGCACCTCCACAGAGATGGTACGACTGCCACATGCCCCTCCTGATAAAACGGTGGGAGGGGAAGAGATCACCATCTCCTTACCAAGGGCCCAATTAGGGATGACATCCAACAAGAATGCTCGTCAAAGCACATAGCCCTTGCAGCTCCAAGGCACATTCAAGTTAGAAAGTTGCCAGGTCTAAACCAATTAACTTGTATCCGATTCACATGTTTTTGCATTCGGTTTGTGGGCAGCTTTCAAATTGGCTTCATGTGGTGGGTCTGGGTCGTGAAATTAAGTTGCCAATTGTAAGTTTCCCTACCTCTGTGCTAGGGGTGCTGAAGACATGCCCAGAAATTATCTGCAGAAGCCACAAACACTTCCCCCTTCAGAAATGACACTCGTGACTTTATTGAAAGGTCCATGGGTTTTATTCATCAGCCAAGTTAATTGGGAAGACCACAATGGTGGATATTATAGCATTCAACATTTGGATGGATGGGGGGGGGGGGGGGGAGGCTGTAGCACCGCTGGATGCAAAGCTGCCCCATAACTTAGAGGCAGACAAGGACAGTCTTCAAAACAACCTCCAGCTTTACACCTACAGTTGTTTTACTGGGTTTGAGTCTCCTTTTTTTGGTGCTGGGGGTTAAGTTTTTTTTAGGACACATTAAAGTAGACCATTTCTCAGGACCCAAATAAAAATGTAAATGCCTTAATGTGTTTGGGATCTTGTGAATTGACTTGTACAGATATTGCATACATTTTTGGCATGTAATAGATTGGCTCATTTTGATAATCAACGATTCAATGCAATTCTGGTAAATGAAGCGCCTCTTAGTGGTAGGGTTCATGAACCAATACAGCACCAACAGGCAGTGTAAATGCTCACCTTGGATTCTGTCGTGTACAAAATCATGCTAGGTGAAGATGCATAAAGGCCTAATAAAGTTAGTGTATGCTCAAGGGGATCGATTATGGGACATCAATATATAAACTGGCAGTTGAGGTACAAGGCCATTTTGGTTCAATGGTCTAATAACTTGCGTGCTTGGGTTCCTTTTGAAACCACTTAAATGATTTGACACATGACTGTGGCACCATTTGAGGCAACCTAGAACAGAGTCCCATTGTCCCTCAACCTGTTTCAAGCCTTTCTAACTAAAGCATAAAAGCAATCCGCTAACGCTCGTCGTTTTTCCTGACAGGTGGAATCGTCACAGTCAACAAATGGGAAATCTCCACTGCCAAACGTCAGCAATGGACTTCCCATCACAGGATGAGAGCCGTTTGTGGGTGGGAGCTCCTGGGAAAAAAACAGTGTGCAATACCCCCAGGGACTATCAAAGGTGAAAAACATCCACCAGGCTACACTTAAAAATGAATTTGTAAATCAAAAATGGAGGTGAATAAAACTTTTGAATTCTTAAAGTTTCCCCAACATTTACTGAGCTATTTTACATGGTCTGGAAGAGCAGTGCACTTTGGTTATCCACAGTTTTTCACAAGGCCTGAAATTTGTCCAATTCAGCCAAAAATAAAAAAAAGGAGATTGCCCTGTGAGCATTACATCGGTGCTCATCTCAGCTTACAGCCGAGCCAGTGGTGCAAGTTCCACTCAATGGGGTGGGCCCCCCCCCCACCTCAAGCACTCAACTTCTTCAAAAGCTTATTTTTATTTAGCCCAAGGAGGGATGGATATAATAACCCCCACCAATCAGGATCTCAAACACAACCTTCCAATTCACTATCCCTAAGCCCATCAGCCACTTAAGATGTGTTACTAGAAACAAGCCATTTTTTGTACAATGCCATACCAGTGACATCTTTTGCAGGGGGGCACATGATATATTGTGGAGAAAATAAAGCAGCCCAAGGAAAGACGGCATAGCCAAAACAAGTTTATTGAAGACACTAGGCAGGGATCTTTTCGCCTTTCATAGCTGGGAAGGTGTTCCTGAGAGCCCAAAAGGCGGCGAAAGCCAGGCAGGCGCAGAGCATAGCTGCACACAGGGCCAAGAGGCCATTGGGGCACGGCTGGTGCCGCCGCTGCTGCTGCTGCTCGTCCTCTTGCACTGCCACCTGCGCAGCTTCAGTCGCGACCAGAACGTCACGCCGCCCCAGGGAGGAGGGAATCTCACGAGCGCTGTCATCGAAGAGATCGACGAAGATGAACGGGCCGAGGAAGGTCACCTGCTGCCTGGGTAGCATGTCTACTTCCGTGAGATCCATGCTTCGTGCTTGGGTGGGGGGGGGGGGTTGAACAAAAACAAAGTTATTTAAAAGACAGGTATTTGTTTAACACTGGATTGCACCTTCAAGGTTTTTAATGTTAGAAGTGTACTTATATTGGGATGTGCGCTTGTACAGTGGATGAGATCTATTTTTATATTTTAAAAACCTCGCTCTTCACAAATAAAATGCTAAGAGACCCCTTAAACTCACTTTACCGCCAATCGCCGCATTTAAAAAGAAAGGTGTGCTCTACTATTGTTCCGTCTTAAGATTCATGTACCCTACTCCAAATCCACGTGTACAAAAAGGGCCCAGTGAATAGAGGCAGCTGCCAAGCAAGTAAAGTTGTTGGGTTGAGTCTTCATACATCAGTGTACTAAGGCTATGCCATGCAACTACGTGCAAGATTTGGCGGTGGCCTGTGGCACTGTAGCCAGTATGACTTGAACACGCAGGTATACCCATTTAGGTCTTACCATGTCGGCCATTTGAACACTGCCTGGAACATTCAGGGAAGGCGCTGGGGTTTCTGGAGTCGCACACCACAACACTGCAGTGGAAGTAAACCTAAGCACAATAGAAAACAATTACATTTTATTAGCAGTGTCATTTTTTTGTAGTGCAAGAATACTGTACACAAGTGTCAAAATATTTCCTAATTCTTTGGGTCTTTCGGTAAAGTCACGTAGATATGTTCAAAGAAAACAAGAAATAATGACGTTTTGATCACAAGCAATCGTGATCAGGAGCAGTCACGAACGTTTTAAGTCAAGATTTGTGGTCACCAAGTGAAACAGTAGGGGGAGCTGTTGCCTTGGTAAGAAGGCAATTCTTCACATTTAGATAAATGCAAACATGCTCACATTTTTCAATGCGATTTTTTTTTCCATCCACGAAAGCAGAAGGCAGTATTATGGAGCAAACGCCACGAGTAAAACCACAAAAGTTAGCCAGATTAAAATTACTGGAAGGACTTCATGAGCACTTCATTTGCAATGTCGACAAAACCAAAATCTAGGCTGGAAAAACATGAATATCTGAAGCCGGTGGGGGGGTAGGCAAGTCAATCCATTCTTCGGTGCTTGAAGATACTGCTTTGCAAAATGCCACTCTTTGCACCAAAGGCGGCAAAGCCCACACCTCTACTTCCCCCCCCCCCCCCCCCCACTTCTCACCAAGTCCCTCGTCCCAACTTGTCCTGGTGCCACCATGAAGGCAAAGGTGTCCACTGCAAACCGCTTGAAGAACGAGGCAGGGCTCACGTTCACCACTCCTGGGAACCACACACTGCAGCAGCTGGACTGAACTGGGCACCTGAGCACAGGGGAACCCAGGTTGTGCCAGATTAGCACCAGGATAAGAGACAAACACAAGTATAATTTACACCTTAGATTCACAACACAGGAAGCCATAGAGACGTGCATGTTAAAGTGCACAAACACCCCTGTATCTCAGAAGCACATTTCAAATGGATCTCACTTAAACCATTTCAACACGCTGCTGCAATCTAGCCAATAGGAACCCTCCCCCCGCAAGCGGCAACTGACCCTCTGGTGGAAGGTGTACGCAGCCACTGGTGTCCACCAAATGGGCATTGGTCTGCCAGTTGGCAAGAACACTGCACTGGCACCACCAGGATCCTGGGGTTCCAATACCAGACCGCCAACCACGATTATAAAAATCAGGTTCGTGTCAAGAGTCAATGTCTTGACACAGGTTACTAATGAGTTTAAGTGCCACAATTTGTACATTCCACAATTTGGCCAAATTCCAACTCTAAACCATTTGTTTATTTCTAGAATTTTTCGTGGCTGGGAAGGTTGGAAAGTACTGCCTCGGTGTTTAAAAGTAATTTCAGATGCAAGTATTTCTGTGGTGTATGGAAATACCCATCTCCCAACACAAGGATGATGCACTGCTCTGCACAAGGTCCAAATTGATCGGCTCGTTCAAGCCAGTCCTTTCAAGAACGACTTGGATATTGGCCTCAAAGTGAAAACATGCACTCGTGATAACTTAGGTTATAAGACTTGCGCATTTATAAATGTGCGTGCATGATTTTACGTAGATTGACAAGCAAAGGCTCTCAAGGCCACTCACTCGTTTACGACCAGCTGCCACTTGACTGGGTCCTGTGGGTCCGCAGATGAGGTTGCCCAGCAATCGTCCAGATGCAGCACGAGGTTCTGATCTGTGGGACCCCGCAGGGACACTTGAAAGTACAAGGGATCGCCGAGGGTCTTCACCAGCGGGAAGTCCACCGACAGATATGGGACAGAATAGAGTCCATCTGCAATGCAGCAAAACAAAAAAACACCTTGAGAAGAGGTTTTCACCTTTTTTCTGGCAACAAGCAGGTGTTAAGATGTTAAAACAAACTCAAACCTTTTACAAGCAATCATGGTCTGCATAAACCACAATACTTTGGTCAGAATGCAAAAAAAACTGATATGCATCGTCTTTTAAACCGATTTGGTCCACACCAGACAGCTTTCATGCAGACATGATTCCTTGTAAAAAGGAATCAGTTTGGTGCTTTAACATTTTAACACCTGTTGCCAGAAAGGGGAAAACCTATTCATTTTGGTACTGGCAAAGGAGATCCCATGAAAAACCAGCTTAATTATTTTTCCTCTGTATAAACAAAAAAAGTCGATTTAGCCAATTAATGATAGCAATAGCACAGAAAACAATTTAGAGGTTTATACCTACTGTGCACCGCAGATATGTCAACTTTACAATGCAAAGTTATTTAGATATACAACTTGCACACTAGTAAATCACAACCTTTCATGCAAGACGAAAGTGTGAAACATACATTGCTGTGGGAAGTGGGACAAAAGGACTACATATGTAGCCGTAGACACTTGCATGTTTGTAGATAAATAGCTATTAAAGGTTCAATGTTATAGAGCAGACTGCGGAATTCCACAAGGTTTTAGCACGTTCTCACCGCCACTTGGAATCCAGGTGTTGTATTGTCGGGTTCGGCATGTTTCAGTATTTCACGCTATCACCGTGCAGCATTGTACACCCCCTCCAGAACAGGAATTCCTTAAAATGCGTCTAGTATTTTTCGATGTAAAGCTTTCGTGACTGCAGGGATTCATCTTCTTGGTTCTTTCGGTAAAGTCACGTAGAGGGGAATAATCAAATTAAAACATAATAAAATACAATTCTCACGACGCTTCGGCCACAACGCAAGCAGCCGTCCTCCTGTGAAGAACAGGTCCGTCGGAAAGACAGCGTCTGAATGAACACCACCAAGCTTGGCAGCGTATATTTAAGCTGGGTTAGAGGAGGAAGGGCGCCTTGACAAAGGAATTATTATTTCCCTTCTACGTGACTTTACCGAAAGAACCAAGAAGATGCGTCTAGTGGTGTGGAAAAGGCGTGAGGAGAAGACAACATGCAGCCCAAACCGGAAAAACAAAACCTTTGGGCGAAGATATTTGTAATGCATGGTGTAAACCAACATGTCAGTTAAAAAACGTCAAACCTGGGAACACTTCGAGGAGAAACGCAAAGAGGCCCAGGGCGATCTGTGGCGTTGGAGGAGAGAGTGTATTCACCAGCGCTTCCACAACCAAATCTGCAGTGCCGTTCATCTGGCACTCCACCCACAGCCTGCCAGACAGTCACAAGCGGCAGTGGCTGCAGCCTTCATAACATTGCAATGAAGAGGCCTATGGAGTATTGTTAATCGAGGATCACATTAACCAACTCCGTTCGTCACAATCAACAAAACAATCCTAGAAGATTCCGCACAAAGCGATGGGCGTTTTTGAAGCAAGCGAGTGTCCGAAAACGTTGCAAGGAAAAGAACGGATGCATATTAGAACAAAGCAGTCTCTGGTGAATATATTTGAGCACCTAATGAATTACTGTATCATTGTTTCGTGTTTAAAAAAGCCTTGCCGTCAACACTGGTGCAATGATACAAGCGACTGCCACTTTTCAGAAGTATGGAAGAGGCTCTCCTATTCATATTGCTGCACCAATTCCAACCAAGTCTCAATTTTCGCTCATTTTTGTTTACAATTTAATGAGGGTTTAATTCTTCAGAGTCTGCGCGTTGTACGTCGAGTACATTCCAGGCTACGCGGCACCCTCAATTAGCAGTTGGCTCGCACGGTGCGAAAGAAGTCACTACAAATCGAGACCACGAGTCCAGACATTTCACTCGGTGCCACATGAGGGTGGCCGAACTTGTGTCCTGGTTCAAATATCTGTTTGACCAACAGCAAAATCACCGTTTGAAAATAGTGGGCTAACATGCAAGTCACGCTTATTTATCTGTACAAATACTTATAATAAAAAGGTGTTTACTACCTCTAAGGTGGGGAGGGGGTCATATTTCACAACACTTATCATTAGCAGGTTGATATGAGAAGCACAAGCTGCTGGAATTTGTTCAGCCCCATCAAGGCTAACAATTCTCGATTTGAAGCTTTCGTGACTGCAAGGATTCATATTCTTTTATTTTATTTTACTTTTATTAATTTTAATGTTTTACCTACGTGACTTTACCGAAAAAACCTAAGAATAAGGCTAACAATCCAAGGGAAGCAACAGATGGACGAATCGCTCACAAATGACTTGACAGTTCAATGTCATCGTGGTCGGGGGGTGGGGGTAGCATGGGGCACGTTGGGTATGGGGCGAGTGAGACTTTCCGTGAAGATCGCTGCGATGCCAGGGACCCAGTTTCCCCGCACACAGCCGGTCGGCACACGAACCGTGGCATGCGGAGGACATTGGCTTTTGCCCAACTTGGAAGTCTTACCAGTACTCGCTGTCTCGCGTCACGATGCCCCGTGGACCAGAGACGCGCGTGCGGGTGGCCAGGACCTCATTCGAGTACACGAGCACATCACCACGGAACTACCACACAAAGAACAAACACAACTTTAATGACCATACGACATTGCACTAACAGTGAACAGCGGAGCATTAGTCTCTGCCCATTCGCGACCACCCCTTTCTTTGCATCACCGACAGCTCTTCAGCTACCTAACTAGTACGGGCTGATAACCCGCGATGCAGCAGAGGGTTCATATTTAACATCTACAGCCCACGTCTGCCTTGCCAGGCCGTGGAGGGAGGGAGATTTGACTTTGACACAGATCGCAGGTAGGCGGCCAAGGTGGATTTTCCGGCACTGCACGTGCATCACCCATCCAGGCTCAACGTTGCTTAGCGTCCAAGATTTGACGCATTCCTGGAAATATGGTCAGTCATTTTAGATGTAAGGTTTATTTAACACATTAACCTTATGGTGGGACCCCGGGGTCCCATAAGCCCCCGGCTCTCGCATAAACATGAAATTGTAATGTAAACAGAAACTTTGCTCTTTTTTACCAATGGGTTTGAAGGATGGTGGCAAGTGTCGTCTTGTTAAAATATACCTACGTGACTTACCGAAAGATCCAAAGAGTATGGATTCCTGCAGTCACGAAAGCTTCAAATATGCCTTTAAAACTGAAAACTACTTATCTGCAGTACCTCTATTAAAATACACAATAAAAAAAAAATATACACCCCTGTCAATCATTGTGTTTCAGTGTGGATTTCTGAACACTTTGTAAACGGTACATAAAATAGTACGCATTTTCAACGCACTGTTCATTTTGTAACAAGCGTTTATACCAATGTTACTCTATAGAATAGTGGGTCGCCGCTCTTCTTATCCGCATTGATACGAGCGGTATGTGGGGACTCTGGCTTAATCGCAAAAAAACAGATGCATACAGACAAGAGAAGTATTATCAAACAGGAGGAATTAACGGTGCAACGCATCTCATCTGTTAAATATCTGCAGGTAATACGATTATAGTCTTTGGTTATTTTGGTCAAGTCACGTATATAGAAAAATATAAGTAAAGTGAATACAAATAATAACAAAAAACACTCGTGTAGACTGTAGCCTTGTTTGTAAGCTTGGTGAGCGTATTGGCATTTTAAAATGTAGACTGTAGCAATGGTTAAACTGAGCGTACTGGCAGTATTATAGACTGCCAGTACACGCACTCAGTTTAATAACTATTGCTACCAGTCTACATCATAGACTGCCAAGATGCTCACTAGCTTAAAAACCAGGCTACAGTCTACATTATAGACTGCCAGTAAACTCACCTCCGATTTCGAACCAGGCTACAGTCTATATTAGTGGTTTGTTAGTTCTCATTTACTTTATTTTTTTAAATAAATTTTCTATCTACGTGACTTTACCGAAAAAACCAAAGAATTTGAATTCCTGCAGTAACGAAAGTTTGAAGTTAAAAGGTAAGAGAATTGTCATCGCTTGAGCCTGGCTGCAGATATTGGTAGGTCACAAAAATTAATTCACTGTATTATGCACACCATTATGAAAAATATAGGACTCAAGTCGTGTAGGCAGTTTGAGCAGCTTTGGATACGATTTATGCTCCTGCCCATACCCGAGCAAGGAGTGCATTCAGTTGTTCAGCTCTTCTGCGCATTCGTCCTCGCTGCTGCGCTTGGACGACACGACAGAATGATCCGCGCCAGGTGGGTCGCGGCGTTTATGTGCGCGGTGGGACGGAGTCACCAAAAACTAATTACGATTTTGATTCTAGATTTGAAGCTTTCGTGACTGCAAGGATTCATACTGTTAGGTTTTATCGGTAAAGTCACGTAGGTAAAAAAATAAAATTTTAAGTTAATAAAAGTAATAATGGAAATAAAATAATAAATCACTAAACGTCGTGATTTATTCTTTTATTTCCATTATTACTTTTATTAACTTTTAATTTTATTTTTTTTACCTACGTGACTTTACCGAAACAACCTAACAGTACGATTTTGATTTCCGTTTATTCGGGACCCCGGGGTTCCGCCATGAGGTTCAAATAAACAAAATCACGTTTGAAATCCCCGCCTCTTAACCCTGGCGTGGGTGGGTGGAGAATGGAAGAATCGCGGCTGTGTTCAAGTCGTCACACCTCGACCCTGGTGCCGCACTGGTCGAGGGCGAAGGCGAAGCGTGCCAGGTCGGCTCCCAGCAGCACGGGGAGGCACTCCGGGCCCCCCTGGTTCGGGATCAGCACGGAGCTGGGGTCCAGGTTGGGCCGAGTGCTCGTGGCCGACACGTAGATGATCATGAGCCCCTCCGACGTGCAATCTGAACAAAGCCGGCACAGCCGTGACACGCGCACAGACACCCGATCGACGGAAGCGAGATGATACAAGTTGTCGTTGAGCAGAAGTTCTCATTTGTCGCCCCCACGGTAGTGTAAATGCAAGGATGTTTTGCTCAAATGAAAACTATGACAAGCTCCTTTAAATACACATTCAGCGTCTACTAAAGGAATACACCCAGGAGCAGTTAAACAATACATTTTGTTAAAGACACTTGCAATCAATACGATATGTTTTGCAAGGGACATCTTGAAGACGAAAAATGCACTGATATTTTTCCATCGTGCATGGCGGCTACTGAATTTCTAAAGAGAGCAAAACGCTTCAGAACCACATCGCAAAAAATGATTTTTGCATAAAAGCGACAACGTAACAGGCAAGTCTGAGAAATGCAATTCTATAAATAAGTGTCCAGTGGCTGTACACAGCTGCTCATTCACATTAGCAGAGTCAAATACAGAGGAGGTTATTATAATCAAAACGCACAATCGTCAATAACACCGCCGTAAAGAGGGAAAAAAATAGAGGCGATGTATTTGGCAAGGGTCCATCACAAGAGGCCAGAGAGCGAGAGAGTTAACAGACGCTGTCGCCTCGACAGACCTGGTTTTCACCTGAGGACGGCTACATGTGTTGTGGCCGAAAACGTCGTGAGAATAGTTTTATTATGTTTTATTTTTATTATGTTTAATTACGTCCCTTCTACGTGACTTTACCGAAAGAACCAAGAAGATGAATCCCTGCAGTCACGAAAGCTTTAAATCGAAAATTATTAGTAGTTTTAGACTTGCACCGCTATCCACCAGCAGGGGCCCGACAGAAGTGGGCGACTTGTGTACCCGAGAACGAGCGCAGCGGTCCTCACTGCGAGGCCCGCGTGTGGCCTTTAGTGCGGCAACGGGACAATCCACAAACGTGAAGACCCCCCCCCCCTTGCAGGCGATGTTGGTGGCCTTCAACACGATGTCTTATATTCTTAGGTTTTTTCCAGGTAAAGGCACGTAGGTAAAAATTAAATTAATAAAAGTAAAATAAAAATACAAATCACGGTGTTTTGGAGGCAACACAAGCTTCCGTCTTCAGGTGGAACCGTCACAGCACGACAGCTGTATCAAGTGAGAGAAATTCCAAGAAACAGTATTTGTAAATATACTGGTTGAGGGTGGGAGGAGCCAAGGTAGGCCCTGAATATTATTTTTGTGAGGTCCGGTGCGGCTGAAGCACGCTGTTAGGAATGAGCCTTTGTTGTGTAAACTAGGTGCGGATGATGTGAAGGTGCGTGTAAAAGGGACTGAGCCTTTTTGTTATGTAGAGATGCGGCTGAAATCGCTGCCAGGAAATTAGCCTTTGTTGTGTAGAATGGTTGACTGAGCCTATTATTATGTTATTAAATCCTTTATATTAAGTTCGCTTGCTTGCTTAGGACCGTGCAAATCTTTCGGTCGTTTAACCCACTTCCCGTGATCCAATCGAGCTGACATTTTCCACACAGACTCGTTGTGCGTGACAATTAATGTTCGTGAAAATTTTTTTCCAAAATTTTGCACTTTTTAGGACAAAAATATTATATTTAATTACCAATTGCTTAATGGTGCAATGCAATCATCTGACCCATAGGTGGCAGCCATCTCAAGCCAGAGGACGAGAGGACTCTAGCCGCCACGGATATAAAGGATTTATAGTGAAAAACTTAGTTTTTACGGGTTAATTTTTTTAATGATTATGTTATTATATTATTATGTCTTATAACAGCGAAAGTGCCTGGGGCCCCCACCCCTCCAAAAATGTCGTGAACACCGATGGTCGCGTTACCAGCCGACAGGGTGGAGGCTTGTCTCTGGACCCTCGGTGCTGGTGGTGGAGCAGGGAGGTCTGCAGACACCAGGGAGGGAAAACAACACGATCATCTCTCTTGACACACACACACCAGTGAAAGGGATTAACACGAGGTGGATACATCTTGACTTAAGCTTTTGCGACTGCCGGAATTGATATTCTTAGTTTTTTTTTGTAAAGTCACGTAGAGAGTTCTAGATTTGAAGCTTTCGTGACTGCAAGGATTAATATTCTTAGGTTTTTTTCGGTAAAGTCACGTAGATACAAAAATTTAAATTAATAAAAGTAAAATAAAAATAAAATAAAAATCACGACGTTTCGGAGGCAACAAGCTTCCGTCTTCAGATGGAACCGTCAAGCACTTGATACAGCTATCGTGCTGTGACGGTTCCACCTGAAGACGGAAGCTTGTGTTGCCTCCGAAACGTCGTGATTTTTATTTTACTTTTATTAATTATAATTTTTTATCTACGTGACTTCACCGAAAAAACCTAAGAATAATCACGTAGATAGGTAAAATAAACAAAAAAAACTACGACGTTTCGATCGCAACATAAGCGACGGCTGCTTGTGTTGCGATCGAAAGTTTTTTTTGTTTATTTTCTTAACCCATCTACGTGACTTTACAAAAAGACCCAAAGAATACGAGGTGGATAATCTTGTTTTGATGTCGGAACAGCACGGTCAGGGTTGGTACATAAATCGTCAGCCGTGCACGGCTCATCTCAGAGGTTGCTGGAGCAGGCGAACGAGGCATCGTTTGCCGAAGGTCATTAACGCACCCCCCCCCCCAAAACAACATCTACGTTTTGTTACCTATTCAAGGAGTTCCACGTCAGTTCGGAGGTGGAGTGGTTAGCTCACTGCACGACGAAACAAACCTGGCAACACGAGTTAAGAAAGTTCCCAGCTACGGCTTTAGTGGCGACCGACCTCCAAACTCGAATTGGGCACCCCCTTCTCCAACCCGCACCGACCAGCGCGACCAAGTACGGTTGGGTCCAACAACCTCCACGGCGTTGGGCCCATGACCTTCAAAACCCATCTCGGTGGCTTGATAACGGTCGAAACGCATTACATTTTCATATTGTGGCTTTTATTTTTAATGGAAAATTTCAGCAACTGCTGCCGCTACCATTACGGCGCACCGCGGTGTGGCACGCGAGGTCACGCGAGGTCACGCGAGGTCTCACCCGGCACCATCATCGTCGAGCTCCCAGCTCCCAGACGCGGCTGAACCTGTGCCCAGGCGAGGTGGCCCTTCAGCAGCAGCAGCCACCCGGCTCTGTGGGGATGGAGGGGGGGGGGGGGCACCGCCAAGGCCACCATGAGCGCAACTCCAGCGAGTCCGCGCCACAGCCCATTCCCCCGTGGACAAATATTTTAAGAAAAAGATTATTTCCAGGTGCACACGAAGCCCTTGCCACAACCGAGCCACCACAACACATTGCCGATCTCGCCGAGGAGGGTAAACCAGCACGCGAACTGTGGCCATCCCTCGCAGCAGTGGCTTTGGGCGGACCGCGTCGCAAGCTTTCAGATGGGCTTCTGCGGCCGTCTGGAACGCTCTTCGTTCCGATATGAAGCCAGAACTGGGGCAATGCACCTTTAAATCCAGATTAAAAGACAATTTTCTTTAGAACCGATGTGTGCTCAGTTTGTAGTCCTTACCCCCCCGGCACATCCGATGAGCACGGTTGTCTACGTACGGTGCAAAAGTTCAACACACGAAACCGATTTCCAGACGAATATCGGACTGTATCGAGACGCATGTGATCAGGACCGGTTTCGAACGTGGGCGTCTCGGCAGCTAATTCTGCTACATTACCTACACCGTGAACTTGGTGTAGGGTAAGAGAGAGATGGCGACTCACAGCAGCAGTATGAAGAGGTGGAGAGGTACAATCGACCCCATTGCCAGCGCCAACAAAAACTTCTCCCCACCCCTCCCCCTCCCGCTCGTTTATAACGCGTCGCTTAATTGGTATCAATGAATGAGCGCCCACCCCGCGCTCAATTAACTCACCCATCACCCCTCCCCTATTGTTCTCCCCCCCGCTCTGCATTGGTGATGAGAACCCCAACCGTGGCACGATTAACTCGGCACCACGCGCGCGGTGTTTGATTGATGGATGACGCCATCGCTCCCCGGGCCGCAAGGTCGCCGTCGAGTCGTCCCCGACACTGACCAGCCACAGTTACCGTCAGTCTCTCCGCGTGTTCCTCCCCCCCAACACCCCCCCCCAACACCCCTCCCCCCATACCCCCCCCCCCCCAACACCCCCGCCACATATAAAAATGAACACGCAGCGTGCGCCTGATGATTGCTAAACACGCCCCCACATGGTGGATGAATACCGGTTCAAAATGAATGCAGAGAACGTCGTGTGGGTGCACGTGCGTGTACCTGCGTATAGCTGTGTAGCTGTGTGTACCTGTGTGGAGCTGTTAGTACCCTGCGTGTACCTGTGTAGCCTGTGTGTAGCTGTGTGTACCTGTGTGGAGCTGTGAGTACCCTGTGTGTACCTGTGTGTAGCTGTGTGTAGCTGTGTGTAGCTGTTAGTACCCTGCGTGTACCTGTGTGGACCTGTGTGTAGCTGTGTGTACCTGTGTGTAGCTGTTAGTACCCTGCGTGTACCTGTGTGGACCTGTGTGTACCTGTGTGGAGCTGTGAGTACCCTGTGTTTACCTGCGTGTACCTGTGTGTAGCTGCGTGGACCTGTGTGGAGCTGTGAGTACCCTGTGTTTACCTGTGTGTACCTGTGTGTACCTGTGTGTAGCTGCGTGGACCTGTGTGTACCTGTGTGTACCTGTGTGTAGCTGCGTGGACCTGTGTTTACCTGTGTGTACCTGTGTGTACCTGCGTGTACCTGTGTGTAGCTGTGAGTACCCTGTATAGCTGTGTGTACCCTGTGTGTAGCTGTGTGTACCTGTGTGCGCGCGTGTGTGTGTACCTGCATGTGTGGGGAGCGGTGGTGTAGCGGTTAGCGCGCTGCGCTATGAACCTGGCGACACGGGTTCGATTACCGCTCATGGCCAACACCAAGTGGCGAATATCTGAACCGGTCCCGGGCCTCTCCAAGGTCGACTCAGCCTGAAATGAGTACCTGGTGCGGTGTATAAACATCGCCACTGGGGAGACAAAGGCGGTCGGGCGTGGTGTTGGTCACCCATCCCCTCGTGTACCATTCCGGCCTTCATAGGTGCTCGCTAACAGCACTTGCCCCTACAGTCTGTGAAGGCTATACGGGGGATCTTTGTATTTTATCTTTGTACCTGTGTGACACGTGCGTCTCACGCATAAGCGGTTAGCGAGCGCCCTGCGCTCGCCCACCCGGCGACCCGAGTTGTATTCCAGATGAACGACAAATAACAGTGGCGAATAACTGAATGTGTCCTGGCTGAACGGTTCCTGGGCCTCCCCTAGGTCGACTCAACCTTAAATAAGTACTTGGGGTTGTGCGTTCAAAAATCAGCATTGGGATGACAAAGGGGCCGTCCATAAATGACGTCACGCACCTGGGACGATGTGTGACGAGGGAGGGGGGGGTGAGAAATGTGACGTCACATCAAAATGCGCAACTTTCAATACATACACGTTCTACTTAATTAAATAGACGTTTTAATACATGTTTTCTCCTACAACATCAGAGTGCCGCGCCACATTAAATACGCACTACAATGACAATAGTTTAAAGCGATTTGAAGCATGTTCTATTTTTGGGGGGGGGGGGGGGCAGAGCTTTGTGACGTCATATTTGAGGGGGGGGGTCTGACTTTTTGTGACGCCGTGTGACGAGGGGGGGGGGGGTAAAAAAATCGTCCAAAATCGCGTGACGTCATTTATAGACGGTCCCAAAGGCAGCCGGGCATGGTACTGGCCACACACCCTATTGCGTGCCGTGATGTCATTAATAGGTGATCGCTAACAAAATGTGCCCCTAACAGTCTGCCGAAGGCGATAAGGAGGTGGGATATTTATCCCGCGTGAAGCAGAGAGAGAGAGAGAGAGCGACGATTCGAATTAAGAAGCCCTTCCCTACGTCACGTGGAACGTGTTTAGCAATCATCGGACGTGTGCAGCGTGTCACTACTTGTAAGTGGTATTTTAATAAGGAAGAACATTGGGAAACTGGCTAAACGGGACCATCCGTGTAACAAATGAAATAGCTGAATGCATGCAGACGTACGAGCCCTTTCTCTAACCGCTTTCGAGCCGCTGAAAGTCTCCGTTTCAAGGGAGACTTTGATTGACGGCTAGAAACATTAATACAGAACGAAGCAGAATCACCCCATAATTGTCTAACAAGGCCGATCAGTAGATTCCATTAAGCACCTACTCAAGCGCTGCAATGGTCATTCATTACATTAAGGGAAAGCGAAACCGACAACAGGGACGCAATGTGGTCCGCGCGTCGTTGAATGTGATGGACGGTTCCGTTCCCGTTGCACTTGAAGCTTCCCCCGGTGGCTTTGACCGCGTCGTGCATCTCAACACGCGCTTACCTGCAGCGCCCGCGTGGTTCCAGAGGTTCAGGTGAGTCGGCAGGTGAGCGTCTGTGTGCATTATGTATGTTGAACTTCTTTGGCACCGTACGTAGCTCAGCCGTGCTAATCGGAGGTGCAGTGTAGCCTGAAATGCGCTCTATTTCGTAATTTTTTTCAACTTTACAATTTAAGGCCCACTGGGCTATGTAGCGCTTTTTCAGAAGCAATCTGGCCACAAATGATAGCTCAACGAAGTGGCTTATCATCATCATCATGTGGACATTTACAGCAGCCGAATACCATAAGAGCATGGCGATTATAAATGTGGAGGGTAAAACCGAAAAACCTTGAGAAAAATCCACGCGACCACGGGGAGAGAGACACGCAAAGCCCAAATGTCGGGGTCGGGATCGAACCCACGACCATCCTGTAGACCAGGCGAGGTAGTTAACATCTCCTAGCCACCGTGGCGCCTGTCCTTCCCCCGTACCTCCATGCACGATTGGCTATGTACGGTGCGAAAAAAGTTCAACATAATGCAACCCCTGTTTCATATACTATACCTAATATATATGAGAGAGAAAAAAAACCTCTATTCGTTAGTAACAGTGGCCTTAAAATAAAAAACATTACAAAAGCATAATGATGTATGGCCTTTCATCACCGCGGGCGAGAGTTGGTGGTTCGCACAAATGTCGCGAAACTCCGTGGGCGTCGAGGTGTCATACCCTGGCCTGCCAGGAGAATGCAGTGCGGCACAGCAACACACGTGGATTGGGGGCCGTCCATAAATGACGTCACGCACCTGGGGGGGGGTCTGACTTTTTGTGACGCCGTGTGACGAAGGGGGGGGGGGGGCAAAAATCGTCCGAAATCGCGTGACGTCATTTATGGACGGCCCCTTACCTGTTTCTTCTGTCGGATGATCGAGTGCGCGTGTGCCAAGTCACGCTTCGTGCCGAGCTGCTGTGCCAAGTCACGCACGGGTGGCATTCTATTTCCAGGTGCTCCCATTAATTCATTGATCGATACAATCTGAAGATATCGATGACCGCAGAACACCGGCCGACCGCGTGGCTCCTGCTTTCTCGCTCGTCTTGTGCTTCCTTGGCCCTCTGTTCGGGGTCGATATCTCTCGGACCAGCCAGCGAGTGAGCAAAATAAAATGTTGCGGTGCATTACAAGTCGATATTATCATTGTTATTGACGGAATATGCTGGGGCTGTGGTGTGTCCATTGTGCTCATCCCACCGCTACCAATGCAACGTCACCGACAAACGCGTTGGACGATTGTGCAGCAATCAGCGATTGCCATCCGACCGTGCTTGTCAAGGCTTCATTTCTCACTCGATCTTTTCCGGAACGCTGCTCGCTCTACTGGCTTGGCGTAGGGATTAGAGTACAAAATTCGCCTTTTTCATACTGCTATACTGTGCGTACTCTACATTCCTATAACCCTTACATTTGAATAGTGGGTACGACAATCAGGACAAAATACGGCGAAGTGGATGTGGCAATGGCCAATATAATTCCCAAACCAGCGTTCCGGACTGTTCCGGATGGAATTAAGCAGTGCTGCTCGTGTCGACATTAACTTATTAAAATTGGACTTTCACACGCCGAGCATTCCGTGTGCGTTGCCACGCGGGCACGAGGAAGGCTCCGGGCGCCTCGAGACGCTGCAGCGTTGCAGAGTTGGAGCCGCGGTGTCGCTCGCAGGCGTTGCGTTGACTCCTGCGGGCTCATTCATGTCAGCTGGGCGTGGGAGCGGTGGCGCAGTGGTTGGGTGCACTACGCCGACGACCTGAGCTCGATTCCCGACTTGGGGCGAACGCAGTGCTTGCCACGTTTTCTAAACGAGGACATATTCCTGTCGGCCTACGTGTACGACGAGGACCGTGCAGTATGGTGGAATGGGAGTGTAAACAATGCCGGTACCAGGTCTCGGTACAAATTATTTCCTGGCACCAGAACGCAGATGCCACCTCTCGCATTGCCCCGGGTCAAAGCCCGGAGGACAGGTGGCAAACGTGAGGCTGACGTCTGCAGTCAGTCCCCTCTCCCCGACACCACCCTTCTTGCCAGTCCCCACTGACCAGCGTGGGGAAGTATGCTCGAAACAACGATCACGACTGATGCGGATTAAATGGTGCAAGTGCCCTAACCACTGCGCCACCGCTCCACCCAAGGCCGTAGCCATGCAGTCAACATTGGGGGGGACCACATCTAATTTTTAGCAATACATTGGGGGGGGGGGAGGGAATTTTGAGCATATTTGAATATTGGGGGGGATGTCCCCACCAATATATTATAATTACGGCCTTGCAAACAAAAAACATGCATGTCTGTTTGGCGGTTTAACATCTTAACGCCTGTTGTATTGCCAGACAAGGTAAAATATATTATAATGACCACATTGTAATAACACATAGTTAATTCCACGTCACAATTTCAATGTGGTGCACTTGTCGAGTTTACACAACTAGAGCTCTTTAATGATCTCGTTCAGCAAGCAGCGCTTTGTTGTGGGCATTTCATCCCATTTCCTTTGCATCACCACACGAGCCTCCCTGCTGTTATGTACGTTGAGAGCACTTTCATTGATTACATACTCTTTGGTTCTTTCGGTAAAGTCACGTAGGTCGAAAAATAATAGATCACGACGTTTTGATCGCAACACAAGCAATCGGTAATCAGGTGGGACAACCACAGCAAGAAAAAACTGCTGATGACGATTGCTTGTGTTGCGATCGAAACGTCGTTATCTATTATTTTTCTACCTACGTGACTTTACCGAAAAAACTAAAGAGTATGGATTCCTGCAGTCACGAAAGCTTCAAATCAAGATTACACCATTACACTTTGAGTGTTTATAAAGTCTCATTATTTGGCTGCTATACATTTCCACATGATAAGCCACTTGGTTGAGGTATGTGGCCAGGTCGCTTCTGTAAAAGAAGCTAATGGCTCGGTGAGTGGGCTTTACCGAGTAAAATAAAAGTGTTTAGTTTCATTTGTATGTTTTTTTTGTGATTTGCTTACTTTTTCTCCGATCGTGTTTTTGTATTGTTGTCGTAGCATCTGATCCACCCCTACTGCACATCTGGATAAAAGAGCTTTACAGCTCATCGGATTCCTCCAGTATAAATACTAATCCTGATTCTGAAATTAATCTCGAGTGTCCACGTACAGGACCGCTGTACACGAGTCAGCGTTGGGCTTTTGAGTCAGGGTTAGGTTTCCTGAGTGCATTAAAACGAAAGGAATGCGGTCACAGAGATCGAATAGGTTTGTTCAGATTACAACCCAGTTGTAGCTACACCGTGACCTTGTCCAGTGCAAAAATGGTTAATTTCCCACGAGTAGCTGCAGCTCAACATTTGGAGCACTTTCATTATTTTTTTTCAATCTCCGGCAGTGCTGAAGCGTGCACTCCAGCGCCTCAAGCAGTGTTTCTATCGTTACAGAGTACCTACTACCCTCCTAAAAGTCTATTGAAGGTTCTTACACAATTTACCAACTCGCAATCGAGTGCAACCTTATTAAATAAAGGACACCGCTTTTTAAAAATAAGTGCTCAATCTCTAATTTAATATTTCCCTACAAGATAAAATTACCAAATCTGCACGTTCTTGACTTTGCTCTACTCAATAAGAGCTTAAACAACCATGGGGGGGGGGTCCTCAGGGGCAGAGGTCATAGTTCTGAGTTGGTATCGCTGAAATCCTGGGTTCGAATCGGCAATGACCTGTAATCAACACCAGGTTCTCCAGTGCAGTACAGCCAAATGCATTAACCCTAGGCATCAAATGATTGAACACAAACGAATAATTTTAATTTGACTAACTTCCATCTCTGGAAGAAATGTCAAAATATTTTTTGTTTTAAACGCGCTGGTATAATGAGGGTTTTGTGAGTAAAATGTTGGACAAACCTCTCTCTCGGATTCGTCACGTGGTGTTGGAGTCCTGGTTGACGAGTGGGGCACCAATGTGCAGTGGCCATGGTCGTGTTGCATTGAACAACTTGACATCCATTCCCTTTTAGGTTCATAAATGCAAATTAAGGGGAATGTTAACTCGTATTATGCAACCCAGCCCAGGTTCTCAGGCAACCAAGAGATGATAATTGGTTGCTTACCCTTCTATCTGGCAACAAAACTGACACCTTTTTTTACAAGGCGTCATGTTTGCATTGACCACAATACCTGCGGTCGAAGCCAACAAAAAACACAACTCTGATAATGTATGCACTGTCCTTGAAATTGATTGGTCCACACCCGAGACAGCTTTTCTTAGAGCCTAGTCTCACATGGTGTTGGACCAGATGACGTAGAAAGGCGCACAACTCAAAGACAATGCACCATCAGAGTATGAGAGCTCGGGGTAAGCATTTACACCATTATAATCTCCTTTGCCAGTAGCAAAATGATAATTGTTTTTTTACCCCTTCATCTGGCAACAAAACTGACACCTTTTTTTGCGCGTCAGTTTTGTTGCCAGATAAAAGGGTAAAAAACCAATTATCATATTTTGCTACTGGCAAAGGAGGTTCCAATGGTGCAGTCAAGAGATGGTTGTGCAGGCCACACAAACAACTTCAAGTGTGGCTTTGAGTAATTGGAACAGACCTGAAGTGCTCTCTTGGCAGGGACCACAAAATGACTGGGGAACAAAAACGAATCAATTGCTGCCCAAATATATTTTACACAATAGTTCAAATTTTGCAGGTGTAGTGCGAAATGTTCACGATTGGTTTGCAGTGCTCCTAAAATCAGTAGCTGCTAGGCAATGAAGTATATTTTCGTTACTCTTTGGATTGTTACTTAAGCAAAATGAAATAAATACAGCTCCTAAAAAATATGCCGTCGTCTGATATCCTTGCTGAAAAGTTGTTGTAATGTCCGTGGAGTGTCTGTATTTTTTATTCTGGAGCCGGAGTAGCACGTGTAAAAGGATGCCGAATGACAATTCATATCACAATACAGACGATAACTTTACATCACAACACAGACACTTTGCATAAATGGTTCTTTATTTGGAATGAAAAGGGGCGTGAAAGTAGTTACAATATGGAAATCTTTACTCCTACATATTTGCAGTACAAAACCTTGCGTGTGGATCCAAGTTGTAATGCTCTCTTGTTTATGCAACAACGTGGCCCAAAAAGCAGTGGTCTCCATCAGGGGTTAATCAGGAAGTGCTACGGTGAAACACACGTTTCAATACACACGGGCACCTCGGATTAACCATTCTGCATCAATGCGTGTGTAAAAGGTGATTCAAGACGTTGACATCTTCATAAGGAACACCAAACCATTAGGCTTTCCTAAAGCTGTCAGATGAAACAACTAAAACAATTCCAATGAATAGGGTTCCCATCACGTATATCAACTGTTAGGCAAGTACTTTTTTTAGGCATTTAGAGTGCATTATTTAGAAAAATAAAGCTTTAAAACCAAAACTTTTTTTTTACTTGGGGACCAACATTTTTGTTAAATCAAAGTTAGACTATTCAAATGTAGTAAGAATGAAAGTTAAATTATGACTGTAACTGATTACAAAGGCAATAGAAACGTCGAAGCATTCTACTCCTACTTTTTTTAGTTTTTGAATAAAGTGCACAATTGACTTTACAAGTAGGTACAATAACATACGCTTTGTTGCATAAAGTTAAAAATGACGCATTTACCAAATATTGGCAAATGCAATTTTAGCTTCTGTTTCTATTGTCACCCATAGTGGAATACAGTCCTGGCTTTTGTCGATCCATAGCGTGTTTGCAAAGTGTAACCATTTACTTTTCTCACTCATTTTTCCATTAACGATGCTTACAAGGGAGTTATAGCAAAAGGGACTGAGGCCGACCTCGCATCTAAGTGAATATAAGTATGCATTAATAAAAGATCAGAAATGTAAATTGAACAAACTTGTAAATAGACCAAGTATAGGACAATCTTACATACGTATACATTCCCCATCCCTTACACCCCCCCCCACACACACACTGACTAAACTGTGCGGCAAGAAAAATTAAGTGTTTGTCAACTTTACAGACTTCTTTCACCTTCGGTTACATGAATCGAAATAACGCAGCATCGCAAGTGACGAATGTTTAACTTGATGACTTGAAGGGAATTTTTTTTACGGCGCACAATCATATTACAAGGTAGCCCTGATCTTCCATATGCGTAGACACCTCCTGAGTGGGATATGGTGAAATGAAACTCAGGACACAGGGCCCATTGCTTGCCTAACCAGTCAAGGGCAGGCCTTGCATTTCACGTGGACCCACTTATCTTTCCATTAACGGTGCACGAGAGAGCACACGCAGGGGGATTGGTTACAGAACACCTTTTCACCCCAACAAAGCAGTCTGTGCGATCCAAGTGCCGTGTTCTAGGTTGGGCTGTGTGTTCAGCATGTCTTCTGAAACAGCTATTACTATTTTTATTTGACCAGATAAGGCCCATTGAGCTATACGGCTCTTCAGAAGTGACCTGGCCACAAATGATAGCTCAACCAAGTGTGGAAATTGATAGCAGCCAAATACTTTAAACGCATGTTTCTAAACGTGGAGAAAAACCAGAGGACACAGAAAAATCTACGCGACCACGGGGAGAATACGCAAACTCCAAATACTGGTGCCAGGGTCGGGGTCGAACCCACGACCTCCTGCATACCAGGCAAGGTGGTTAACATCTCGTCACCGTGGCGCCCCAGCTGCAAAACGTACGCGTGTTAAATTCAGTCGAACGTGCTGTTGAAGACCTTCCAATACAAATCGGTCGTCCCAATAGAGACGATGGTTTTGGCAGCCACAGAGAAAACAAAACCGTGACGGGGCCAAAATTTACGGGTTTCCACAATTACACGGTAAATCAAACCTTAACTTTTCGGCACATCACAATACGAGTAATAACGGTAAAAAAGCGTAAAATAATGAAGCAAAAATGCATATAAAGTCATTTATAATGCAACATGGAAAAAAACTGCAAATTCTAAAGACTTAAAAAAAAAAGTTGAACATTGATTGTTAAGGTTATGAAAGCCACTTAAATGCAGGAACACATTTGTTGTTTGAAAAAATAATGGTACAACCGTCGCATATCAGAACATTGCTAATCCACCCTGACCAATTAATTGCCCACACCCAGTGCAGTATTTGTTCCTAATCCAATGCACATCCACTTACTGTTACAGCACAGTAAAGCATTTCGCCTATAATTGAAGGAGCTTTGTGCTCCATTTCTTTTGTCCAGCAACCTATTTGTGCATGGTGGTTGTTAACTGTCATTCTCTGTAGATATTCACACATCAGACCTTTTCACATATGCACCTAAACCAAAGTTGCTAGCGAGTACAGCAAACATCCGAAACCGTCGATGAAGCCGATGCTATGGTGTCGCGTTTGCTCAATCGCAAGGGATTTTTTCGAGGCCGAATCCAACATCCACTGTGAGAAGATGACATCTCTCCTCTGCGGGAGTGCTAAGCCATACACACTTTAGTTTTGCATAAACGTGCAGCAAAAAGGCCAGTTCGAATTGTTACTTTGAAATTAGTAGCGACGTCACAAAAGAAAAGAAAAAACGAATTGAGGTATGGAGCGTACTGCTGCTTTTTTTCAACTTGAAAACAAATTACTCTGTTGGATTATGTTTCGCTGTGATGGTGGAACACAAGGTTGACAGAAGCCTCTGTGGCAGATGGCTTTTTTACTGCAGGTTCGTACATGAGACTCGGGCCTGCCCGGCCAGAGTGTATTATCTTGGGGGGGTCAACGTGGGAGAGGGGTAGGTTTGAGTGTCGCTATGTGGGCATGTTTGTTGTCCTTCCCCCGCACCTCCGATTAGCACGGTTGGCTACGTACGGTGCGAAAGAAGTTCAACACAGATGCATACATAGGGAGGCCAAAAAAGGGGCCAGTGTGTGGGCGGTGCCCACTGCAAACTAGCGGCGGATGGTGCTGGATGCCCGGAAGTACGACAGGAACTTGTAGCAGAGGCTGACGACAAAATACCAGATGTTGCGCGCCATCTGAGATCGAGCGATGAATATGCGCCAGATGATGACGACCAACGCTGTGTTGAACGTGTAGCGGATGTTGCGCAACCTGAAGACAACCACACAAGCGCGTCCCCCGTCAGATTGAAACAAAATTGTCTGTTATCCACGCCGATATACATTTGCTTTGTTATTCACTTGTGACTACAGCTTAGTGGAGAGGGTGTGCGAGTGTTCAACCAATGGCAATATTGGAAGAAAAATTCTGCCATCGCATTGAAAATAGAATAGTGAAATAAGAACAAATCCTTAGGCATCTTGATGCAGGCACAATGCTTGTGGAAAGATAGAATTAGATAAAATTTACATCGTCGTAAATGTACTAATGCCATTGCAAAGACAAGTTGTTAAATCTTCTGATGTATTTTAAATGGAGGAACCTCACTGAGATTCACTAATTTTGCACAGAACCAAATTCAGGCTCAAGACTTTATTTCTGCTGCTAATGCCCATACAGAGCTAAGCAGCTCTTTTAAGAGTACAAACAGCCGAACGTGATAATAACCACGGAGGAATGAAATAAACACTGCTGCAAAAAAAACCCACGTGGGTATGAAGCTTCTGCATCTGGTCAGAGGAACTTGGTTCAGTGGATGGCAGAGAGACGCGAGGGAAACGCAGAGGGGGGGGGGGGGGGGGGGGAGGGAGGTGGGGATCTGATGGCAAAGCATCGACAGGCACTCACTTTTTGAGGTGCTGCCTGGCCGCGGGTAGCCCCGACATGTCCTCGTTGAGGAGGTACTTCTTGGTCCCCATGCAGTAGTTCTCAATGTACTCGGGCCAGTGCAGCTGACGCACGTCGAAGTTGAACATCTGCGCGCGCGCACACACACACACAACACCCGCTCGTGTATCAGTTGCGTTCGAAATGGGGCCGGCGTCTTTCCACCGCACTCTCACGTGACTATGCACGTCACTGTACGATGAACTTCTTTCGCACCTTACGTAGCCAACCGCGCTAATCGGAGGTGCGGGGGATGGACAACAAACGCGACACAAAACAACTGTTTGTGACGAAGGCTGCAGGCACGCCGTGGGATAATTTAACGATCAAAACTTTCCACATTAAGTCCACAGTGAGAGCACGGCAGTCCACGACACCAAATCTGTTGCCAAATCCACTGCTGGATGAGGCCTCCCCGTGCTGTGTGGGTCGTGGAGTTGTTTGGTTTAGTGCAAGATGAAGGTGTGGAGCACAGCAGTATATCACACGCAATGGATTCTGTTGCACTGCCCTCTGCTGCCCACCACGTAGCCCCACGGCCTATGACAATGATATACCAATCTCCAACATAATTCGGTGGACAAAGCATGTACATTTTTTTTTAAAGGTGTGGCCCTGCAATTGCTTGCTCACACTATTGCTGGTGGAAGGGACTCTACCCGAGGCAGACAGCACCTCTAGAGAGTATTTGGTCTACTCTTCCACACTGACCAGACTCTATCCCACCACACACGACCTTCAAATCGACTGCGGTGTTTCCCTTTATACTTCTGCGTGGACCAGAGTGGAAGGGAATTTGAGAAACTTGGCCATGGTTTAAACAGCCAAGGCATGTAATGCCTGATGTATATGTGTGTGCGCGGTGAGACTGTGGTACAGCACACGAGGGGGTGGTGGGTGGCCACCTTTGTCTCCCCAGTGGCAATGTTTTTACACACTGTACCAGGTACTCATTTGAAGCAGAGTAGACCTAGGGGAGGCCCAGGACCGGTTCAGACAATCGTGACTGGCATTGGCCATGAGCGGGAATCGAATTTGGGTTGGTGGGTTTGTAGCGCAGCGCGGTAACCGCTACATTACCGCTCCCAGCTTCGTAGATGCTACTCGCTAATGGCACTTGCTCCAACAAGTCTGTGAAGACTATACGGGGGATCTTTGTCTTTGGTGAGAATGCGGTGCGGTCAGGGGGAGGGTGGGCGTGGTGCGCCGTACCTTGCGGTCCTCCGGGCTGAGCTGGCCCAGCAGCATGGTGAGGTTGTCCGAGCCCCACACCCACGAGTGGCTCGTGAAGTACTCGAGCAGCATCATGGAGCGGTGCAGCCGGTTCACAATGCGCATCATCCTGCGAGCGCAGTGACCGCATTGCACACGCACAGACGCAGCAACCTGAGCGACGACCTCGGGCTTCCCGAGCTAAAGAGGTGCGAGCCTGGTGGTGTCGTTGGCAAAGGCGGCTGCGAGGTGCACCCAGGAGATGGCAGCGTGGAGGGTCGCCACCTCATGATACGCGGGTTTTCTGCAGGAACTCCGATTCTCTTGCATGCCCATCACTCATTATGGACCGGAGCCAAACACCATAATGCAGTGTAGTTTTTCTAAGTACAGTAAAACCTTAGATTGAGAGCATAATTCGTTCCGGAAACGTGTTTGTAATCCAAAGCACTCGTATATCAAAGCACTCGTATATCAGTTGTGATCAGGTGACGCTCGGCAGACAAAGTGTATACAGGTACTACTCGTATTGCAAGACCTCGCTCGCTTATCAAATTAATATTTATTTTAAAAATTTGCCCGTATTGCAAAACACTCGCAGACCTAGTTACTCGCAATCCAATGTTTTACTGTATGTTATAATGGCATCAATGTTATTAATTAAGCCAATGTCTGTTCTTTTAATGCTGTTAACTCGCACCCAACTGCAGTGCCCTTGCAAAGAGCACCTTGTAGAAAGGCGTAATGAAAAATTTGGCGAGGCCAAGCAAACACTTTGAGAAACTCTTCTACTGCATCACAATACCACGAATCAAATTTGTATTCAGCGAGTCTCCCGTTAACTATAGAAGCAGAATTCAGCGCCGAGGCTCGTTTAAACTTATCATCACCATGAACACGAATTAACAACAAAAAGTTGCAAATTATTTCCCATTGGATACACAAAGGGAAACTAAAAACACAATAATATGCAAACGTCATTGGAACCTCCTTTGCCAGTAGCAAAATATGATAATTGGTTTTTTACCCTTTTATCTGGCCAAAAGGCATCATCTGGTCCAACACCATGTGAGACTAGGCTCTAAGGAAAGCTGTCTCGGGTGTGGACCAATCAATTTCAAGGACAGTGCATACATTATCAGAGTTGTGTTGTTTTTTGTTTGCATTCCGACCGCAGGTATTGTGGTCAGTGCAAACATGATTCCTTGTAAAAAAAAGTATCAATTTTGTTGCCAGATAAAAGGTTAAAACACCAATTATTACAATATGCAAACGTGTGAAGTGAGCCAAGCCCCTGTGCTGTGCTTGAACCTGGGCTGCTGGCCACACATTCTGAGAAACAGGTCGTAGAGGAAGGCGGGCGCCTTGTGGCTCACGGCGATCCAGTACTGGTTGATGAGGTGGTTGGACGTGAGGTTCACGTTGGGCCGTCGGACCGCTTGCTCCAGCGGGTTCCGCTTGAACGTGGAAATCACGTGGTGTTCTAGGGGGCAAGGTGAGAGAGCGAGGAGGAGCAGGTGGGCAAGGTGAAGCGAGCACTGGGCACCGCGGTGGCGAGAGGTCAACTGCCTCACCTGGTATGGATTGGCATAAAAAAATATACTGACACGATAAAAAATATTTTAACCATTGCCTGAGGGCTCACCAATCTGTCCCCAGTGAAAGGGGTTGATTTCTCCAGTGGTGCAGTTACAGATCAGGGTGTTCCTTGGCCTGAAACACACACACACACGCGCATCGCTAGACAAACGACACGTCACATCTTGGGCATGCACGTGCACAGCTCCCGACTCTGTGCAAAATCAAAGTCGGCACAGGCTTCAATACCTTTTCAGGTCACGCATGTGTAACATCAGTTATCCAATTTATGTGCGATTGGGGACGACCGATTGGCTTATACACGCTTTTGGTCAGCTCCGTGAGACATGAAGGTGTCCAATTCACTTTACATTGACGTAGCAGCAATACATTGACTGTACCTCCAGGGGGCACCAAAACAAAAGGGCCCAGCTGTGAAACCGTAGTCCCTCTCGATTTAAAGCTTTCGTGACTTCAGGGATTCATCTTCTTGGTTCTTTCGGTAAAGTCACGTTATTACTTCCCTTCTACGTGACTTTACCGAAAGAACCAAGAAGACGTATTCCCTCTATTCAGGTCTTAATGAGCAAGGCAGCTGTGTGCCCTTCCACATGCAGCGAATCTTAAAAATCAAATGGCGCTGGGTGGGTGGTATGCACAAGCCATGCTGCTCAATGAAAACCACGAGTGAACAGAATCTATGCCTCTGTAGTTGCCAAACTGTGCCAGTTACACACGCAGTAGTGCTGGCCGTGGCCTTGTCACGTTGGCAACCATTATTCAGTGATGTTCAGCGTGAAAACACAAGTTCTTTGTACCCTCCTCCACAAATAATATTCCCTGGCAGAACGGTTATAAAAAATGGAATTGAAATGCAACGGTGAAACTTTCATAGATCTTTGCTATGACTGAATAAAGGCTTACTGGCTGAAATTGACTGCACGTTTAAATCTTGAATTAAAGCTTTCGTGACTGCAGGAATTCATATTCTTTGGGTCTTTCGGTAAAGTCACGATGATGACCGCTTGTGTTGCGATCGAAACGTCGTAGTTTTTGTTATTTTCTTTGAACCTATCTACGTGACTTTACCGAGAGACCCAACGAATATGCACGTTTAAAGTTAATTCGAATGGACCAGCAAATGCGCTTACCTGCAGCCTCCAGCCATGACTTATATTACTCGTGGATGAAAATACATTAATAAATGCGCATTGAGACTTGTACAATTAATGGCATATATCTAGTCAAACATTTTTACCAATCAATTATCCATTTAAGCAATAATTATCATGGTCATCTGTCCACCAAATATTACGAAGCATCTCTGGTAGCCAGTTTGTCTCTTGAACACACAGATTTCTAGACCCGACAAAGTAAATTTGTAACTTGGTAACTGGAGCCATCAATCAAATCTGTCACAGGCACGCAGTGTTTTCTCCTCCTGTGCACACCAACATATAATTATTTGCTCACAAAAACAAATAATACGCTCGTGACCTTGTTCTTTTACCACTTTACCCCAAAGCCAAATCTCAATTGGGACTCACGGATTTTGAACCCGTGGGGGCAAACACAAATTGCTGAACCACAAATATTTCACTCTATTTGCGATTCAGGAGACAACATTGCTAAACGACTGGTGCTGGGTGGGGCAATGAGTGGCTGCGGGCATAGGGTGGAGCGGCAATGCAGTTGTTGGCGCACTGCGCTACGAACATGGCGAACAGTGTTCAATTTCCAGGCCACGTAACTAACATCAGCGGTGAAAATATTAACTGGGCATCCTCTAGTTCGCCAGCCGTGAAGAAGAACCTAACGCGATGTGTACACATCGGGACCGGGGAGACAAAGATGGCCGGGCGTGGTGCTCACCACACCAACCCCTCGTGCACTATGCCAGCCTTAATAGCTGCCTCACTAACAGCGCTTGCCCCACAAGTCTGTTCAAGGCTATAAGGGTGATATTTGTCTTTGGCGAGAGTTCACGGGGGGTGGGGGAGAAGCGCGTGCTCTGGGCTGTGCGCTGGCGAGGCACAGCGTCGCTGTCGTGTTCCGTCGCACCTGTGCACGGCCGAGTACCACGCGGCCACCAGCATGACGTTCACCACCGTGTCCACCGGCACCAGGTCGGCCACTGCGTCGTTGCTGGCCCGCATCGTGCGCAGGATGCCCTTGCCCGCCTGGCGAGCCCCGGAGTGTACAAAATAAATAAGTAAACTTTTACTTCCACCGCCTGTAAACGTGAATTATATCGTCACTTTAATTTGGGTCCACTTGGTTCACATCGTCAAGGAGAATTGAGTTGTGGTATATTTTATGATGGTTACATTTGCGGTAAAAATGTTGGAACAAGATGTTACTCTTGACAATGTCACTATGATCTTTAAGTGCCTGGTTTATTATTGCGCTCATAAAGAAAGATGCCTTCACATAACTTCGTAATAAAAACACACAGTTCGTTTTAAAAGTGGCATTGGTTAAGTATTTATTTTGGTGCAATTTCACAGTGACTTGTTCTGGTGGCGTTTGTGAAACGTTGCGATTTTGAGCAGCTTTGGGAAAGAAAAAAAACATCCTTTACACAGCACAAGTTGCACACTAAAGTGTTGTGGGCAAGGCCAGGCACCTCAAAAATGGAACCAGAAAGCCCGTGCGTGTTGGATCACTACATGCGTGGTGTAACCACAGGACTATCGGGCTGCATAACACATTCAAAAACACTCGACGGCTTTAGGGAACATTTACCAGGCTCCGCGAGCTGCGGCAACCTCCCCAGACCACATGCGCGTCACCATTTCCGCCAAAGACACAGGAGGTGGCGAGATAATTTAAAGAGGGCACGTGATCACGCAGCCGAATGCAAAGATGTCACTTAGGCACGCGCGTGTGAATTGCAAGTGGAAATATCACCGCTGATAATTATACGGGTGCATGTTTAAATTATTTCTCGATGCAGGAGGTTATGGCGGGACATGCAGACCTGCGCATCTTCCACTGTAATCTGGCCTGGGGGCATACTTGTGAGTTGTCGTAACAAAAACCATCCAGCATCATTGCTCTTGAGCATTAACCCACTCCTCGTTTAGTCTCTTAAGTGGCACGTGTGTTAGACCTAGAGGCCAGCCGATCTACAAAATGCAACGAACCATTTTTGATGCGACAAATTTGTTGACAATACACGATAAAGACTGTTACATTTTTGTATAGCCACACTGTCGGAGGACACAAACACCCATTTTTTGTATACAATGAGCCAAGAATGTCTGTGTGTCCCGCACGTCACTCCACATCGAACAGCCCCCTCATTCATAATTATGAACAGGTGACGTCCTCCAAATTGACACCCCCCCCCCCTCCATTAATAATAATTAGCGGGTGACGTCACTCCACATGGGGGGGCGAGTTGCCTCCTCCACCCTCCTAAGCGTCAACTCACAACCCTCACTACAAAGGCAAAACCCTCACGTCATGCGATCTCCGTAACGCTGTTGGGACATCAAAGTAAAAAGGACGTCATGATGAACAAGGGATTATAACCTTTACATGAAATAAGTCCGTGTCACCGCGGCCTTACTAATTGCACACGAATGGATGCAATGAATATCACGTCGCGGTCTGCTTTTCGCTTGCAAGTTTCAGATTTACTGCAATACACCCGTCCTTGGATGGGCAAAAGGCGAGTGAAATTGAATGAAATAAGGTTGTAGAAATTAAGATTTAAAAAAACTATAAATATACTTACAGCAATGAAGAGTCCACTTGGTCCATTGAAGTTGTCAATCCAACCCTGCAGGGCAGACACGACAAAGGTGAATCCAGGACGCGGGTTAATTTAAGTAGCACTTGTTTTGGAAACATTAGTTCATCGCCAGAGGACATGGGCGAAGTGTTGAATGACCGTGCACTCGTGCAAAACCACCTCCTCGCCCCATGGACTAGAATATAGTGGCAGCGATGAGGTCACCATGGCACTTGTGCCAGGCTAAGTGCACCTCGAGGCCATGTTAATTGTCTCAGGCTCATTGACAGGTCATGAGACAGACCCACGTGTTATGAATTGAACAACTCGCACACAATACGCACGTTATCACATGCATACGTATAACCACAAATATTATTACAGGGATTGTAACCGCATTGGAGATTATATTATTCACTCATTGATAGTCACGGCAATATATTTTTAACTGTGGATATTGTTTTGAACGAACATATATAGATACAACTGTACACTTTAAAAAGTTAAAACGTAGTCATGTGTTAGAAGAGCAGCCTTAACTTTGAAATCAATATTGTGAGGGTGGGGGCTTGTGGTTGCAGAGGTGATAGGGACATTTATCATGCCAGAAATATAATTAGAAATTTCCCCCTGTAGCAGAAGCTAGAAAAGACAAATGATTTGGCAAACAAAAGTCGTGTGCCTCTGACAATGCTAATATTCAGCGTGTTTCATGGAACCCTGTCGTGCAGACATTGCACAGCGGGTGCAGTAAAACCTGGCACCATTTCCCACGAAAATGCCAGTCGCTTGTCCAACGTGTTGACACATTTAACCCATTGCACAATGGCACTTTTAAAAATCATTAAAAGACCTCCAACCACCATCATGCGTGTAACTTTGAAATAACGAGGTATTGCATTACAGGTCAGCTGTACGTAGCAATAATGTTTGCCAGCAATGTCCGTCGGGGGCCAAAACTGCCAACGAACATCGGGTACATTTTGCGTGCCTCCAACGAGAAAGAAACTTAAGCCACAAACCGTCCTCACAATTTAAAACTTGTAGAGGTCACGTGACTGTGCACCGAGCCCATGTGGAGAGGTTGGCCGAGGCCAAACGGAATTGGTGGCGACGGCGGTCTACTAGACATCTGTGAACTACTTGGACGACATCTGTGAAAGAGCTTTGCAGCTCATCAGATTCCACCAGTGTAAATAAATATTCTGATTTTCTTACGGGGAAGGGCTCCTGCCAGCTGGCCCCGACGATGGAGGGCCTGACGATGGCCACGTTGATCTTGCTGCTCTCTTGCTGCACCATGCACTCGGCCAGGGCCTTGGTGAACGTGTAGGTATTGGGCCGGTCTCCGATGAGGCGTGCGGTGATGTCGCGCACCATGCCATCATCCATCCACCTGGGCCAGCGGAAAACGTTCCGTGAGAAGATTAGACCACCATATACCGTGTTAACTTGTCTTGTGGTTCACCTAAAGTTGCATGCCTTTTCTATCTACTTCCAGCCCTTCGGTACAAATAAGGGCAGTGTGTGCTTAACATTGCCCTTAATTGCACATTTCACATTCAGGACTATACTGACGGGGTATTTCTTTCAGCATTATTTCATGGTATCATTCGTATCCTGGTGATGTGTGTGAAATGTTCCAAGTTTGAGCTGCTTTGCTTAAAAAGATCTTTAATATTGCTCTCTTGAGCCATAACACCTCGTAAAACCGTGCAAAGGAACGTTCATTGCCGGTCTGTGCTGTAAACCACAAATATTTAAATATAGATGTCCGGTCGTAAATGCTGTGAACAAAATATAACTCTAACATTTCTAAATGTATCACACAAACTTACTCTCCGAGAGCAGAAACTTGGATGGAAAGAAAAATTGCCTGAACAGCTTTTGTGAACTCGCCTGAACACTGCCTAATTCAAAGCAAACACCTGCTGGCAATCAACAATACTTTTAGCCTCGGCAGATGGGTCGGTCTTCGGTCACTGTCTTGTGCAAGGGCACAAGTACGCAAGAATGTAACAAAAAGAGGAATTGATTTTCATGAGTACACACAGTACCGTCCAGTAAAGTGACAAAGAGTTACTGAAGACCATCTGATAACGTTAACTTCTGCGGGGCGAAGCTAAGGCATGATGAACACCCTCGGTATCTAGGAGTTACCCGGGATCGGATGCTTACCATCACCACCTCAAACAAGCTAAAGGTAAAACGAAAGCACGAGGGAATATTATTCAGAAACTTGGCAGGAACAACCTGGGGAAGCGATGGCAGCACGTTGAAGATATCGACGCAGGCCCTTGTTCACTCCACTGCGGAGTACTGTGCCCCGGTGTGGGGTGCAAGCCCCCCACACGAACCTTGTCGACGCCGAAATTAACAACGCGCTTCGTGTCATCAAGTCTACTCCACTCCCGTGGCTTCCTGTGCTGGCGAATATCGCTCCGGCCAACATCCAACGTGATGATGCGACGACACGGGAGTACAACAAGACAATGAAGAACTTCACTCTGCCGCTCCATGAAGATCTATAGGAACCCCCCATGCCCAAGGGGGGTACGCGTCTCCGCTCTAGCAGCCGAAAATAAAGACACCGCCACTCGGAGGTCTGAATCATGGGCGGCTATGGACGTGGCAAACAAAAACATCATTCACGATCCGACGGTGGAAGTACCGGTATTCTCTCTTCCACGACGACCATGGACCACATTGAACCGCGCTCGAACACAACACGGCAGATGCGCGTACACGTTCCATAAATGGAAGATCAAAGAATCGCCAAACTGCGACTGTGGAGAAGTCCAAACCATCAAGCACATCACCGATGAATGCTCCATCCATGCCAATCCTGGCGATATCGCTGAAATCCATACTGCGTCAACCACATCATTGGACTGGATAAGGAACCTTTGCATTAATTTATGACGATCATTAGGAAAAAAGAAAAACTGTTGCTTTTCACAATGCCATACGAATGAAGATCTGATAAAAGAAATGTGACATTGGGAAAATTACGCAAGCCTGCTTCGGTCAAATCCCACAACATCGCCAAGTGACATTATCAGCAGAGGACACAGGGATATGTCGCGACCTTTTGTGGAAATCAAGATAATCTGCATGTCAGAATGTCTCCTGTCATCAAAAGTACAGCAACTCTTGTCATACCATCAGTAAACATTTATCCTGAACTGCTTGAGCATTTTCATTATCGTCGTTATGTATGTATGTATGCATGCATTTTGAACTTCTTTCACACCGTATGTAGCCAAGCATGCTTTTCGGAGGTGCGAATATCTTTTATAATTTAAATAGGTCTTGTCGGGGGGGGGGGGGTCCACAATCCAGTGGATATCAGAGCCAGTCTCAAGCCTGAATAAAAAGGAGGAGGGTCGGGCGAAAGGGTGCCTCTGGCGATACTTTGGCCGTGAAGAAAAAAAGACGAAAGGAATCCAATGCACCATGACAACCAAAGAAGAATGAAGAAATGTGGAGTGGACACCGAAGGGCTATCTGCCCATGGATCGTGATGATGATGATGCCTTGCTGAGTAATACAATATCAAATCATTGTACTCTGAATTCAATTGGCCACCACTGTCTTGTTATAGCCTTTAATGCTTTCAGAAGCAAATGTATGAGATACACGAATGTGAAGGCCATTTTCTATCCAATTTCCTCAAAAATGACATGGATGGATGTCATTAGGGCTTGATATATATGCATTTGCATGGATGGCCATTAATGGATTGTGTCTATTTGGAGATATGGCAGAAAGGCAATTTACATGTTTAAAACCTGTCCCGTGCATACGTACATGAAAAATAGGTCAACACTAACAGCAATTCACCAATTACTTGAGCAGTGGAGATTACTGTAAATGGATCAAATTAACTGCCAAGGCATATGATAATTTAGCTCTTCATACATATCTTAATCAACATATTGTGCAGCAGCAGTTTGGCTTAGATTGTCTCTAGGTCTAGATTAGTTACTTATTCCTGCCAAGCATTTGTAAAGGAACAATCCTGTCACTTTGGTGGAACAATGGGTGGTTCCTCCAAAGCTATGGGTTCGCAACAGCATGCAACATCTTCCCTTACCAAACATCAAGGCATCCTGAATTAATCCACAGAACATTACCCAGGGAGGCAGGGTCGATACTGGAGACAGCCAATGAACCATGACCTCATCAAGACAAAACAATATTGAGCAATTGGGCTAAAAGCAGGATGCGCCCTTTTGTACACATGCAGCCCTTTTTGAGGCATTATCTGACCATAGTTTACCACCCGGTCAGCGCTGCACTGCTCTGTGCTGACAATGCAGCATCGCAGAAGCCTACAGCACCTGCTACAATGCAAGTTGGTTGCCCATCCAAGCACTATCCAGGCTCAACCCTGCCAATCCTTCTAAGATCTGACGATTTTGGTCACAGGCATTTGGCTGTCGCGGTACGGACCCCTTCACGAGCTCACGATCAGAGTTGGCAGACGCCAGCTGACGTCAGCGCTCCACACAGACACTCGGTATGAAGCGTACGGCGCCACTCACTGCACGGCGTCGAGCAGCTTGTACGGGTCGACGGGCGGCGGGTACACCACCTCGTCGATGCTTCGGCGGTTGCAGTTGGCGTAGGCCGTGCTCGTGTGCAGGAACACCTCCAGGTGCTGCATGCGCTGAGCCAGCGCCAGCAGCTGCTGCGTTGCGACGACGTTCAGCTGCAGGGCGTGCCTGCCACGTGGCACACACACACACATATGAAACATTAACTCGGTGTGCGTTGACATGCCTGGCTGGTCCTCGAGTCCGTCCGAGGACTCCTACTGACAATGCAGCATCGTCTGTGGAGAGAGTTACAATTATAAAAAATATATATATGTTTTCAGTTTAATATGATTGATTTGAAAGGGAAACACTTCCATATATCTGTGGCAAACTAGATCGGAATGAAAGTGAAGAACATTAAAGTACCAGGGTGGAACAGCAAGAGGCAGGCCTACAAAGTGAAGGTTCCAAGTGGTGAGCCCGGATATGAAAGACTGGAATAGATGTTGGAGGTGGCTCCCGACAGGAATGAGTGGAGAAAGAAGATTAACAAAACCCCTCATACGCGTAACCCGTTAAAGCCCGATACGTATTCAAATAGTCTCCGCTAATATAATGACCTCGGCGTTGGTCTCACATTATTTTGCAACACATTGCCACTGCACAATAAGAGGCCCACAAGATTGACTTTTAGGACTAATTTTTGCATATTTTTTTCAAGGTTACTTTTAAAAATAACATCTAGCTTTTTTAATGTTCATTCACACAATACATTGTAATATTTGCAGTTATTCCATAAAGTGACTTGATATTTGGTTTTAGTGCCTTATAAAAAATTAAAACACATGACTGCTGCACGAGCAGTGGCAAGAGCACAGTCCCTAATGACAACAACAATGAATTGCTAACCATGAAATTCAAACAGATTCATTGGGCTACAAACAGGCAGGCACCTGCTTTTGATTTTCAGGTTAATGAAGCATGGTTATCGTCGAGTGGCTTATGTGTAGTTTTGAGTTGTGGTTGCTAGGTAGCGGATTGATAGTTGTAAGTGGAGGTGTGTTTCTCCCCCCTACCCCACCCCAAAAATGCATGCAATGTTCTTACAAGGATGCAGTGAGCTATAAAAAAAAACTCCGTAGATTATTACTTATGAAATAAAATATTACTGTGCTTTGGAATGCAAAGACCAAAAAAAGGGGGCTTTATTCGACAGAGCGGCGACTGCCGTCGTCGCTTCCCTCTCTGTCGCCTGCTTGGTCGATCCCGTTCTTTTTAATTAAATCCGCCGTCCGAGGCATTTGTTACAATTATGGGCACATCACAAATGTAAGCGGTCGTCGTGTTTGTCGTCTGGCTATTTGTTTGAACCGTGCCCGAAAATCCGACCCACTGTGTGCAAAGATTTTACATTAAAATAAATATCAACCAGAGCACAATCGGTGCATTCATGAAAAAGGCAATAATCTAGGCTTCTCTCAGGATTGCATAACACAACTGTCCACTTTAATTCAGATTTTTGGAACAAGGATTACACGCAGCAGGAAGGGAAGCGAATCAAGATGTCAGTGCGCTGTTCATAACGTGTTAAGCCTGAGCTGCTATCTCCTGGCAAAAGGCTTTTCCAGCTTGGCACGCCAGAGATTTGTGTGTGGATATTGTGGAAACTCGTTTGCTCGTGCTTAACCGTGTTGCCCTGCAAAACGATGTTGTTACCACCCACATTACATGTGGGTTCATATGAGTAGTGTTGTAATGTGTTTATTTGGCTCAAAACCCACTTCCTGCGACATATAACTGTAACCTCTACCATGAGTCCATTGCGAAACTCCTGAATTACAGCCATATCCGAATACATTTCATAATGCTGCTGAAGCTCACCATAATCCACACTTCAATAATTCGGCAAGACAAAAAAAGACGGCTCAATAAATTGAACACATCCTTTGCAAGCAAAAAAGGTTGCGAGTCCAGATAAAATTCCATGATTCCAAAAGCTGTAAATTGTTCTGTGCTGTTCAGCCAAGGACAAATGGTGGCCATTTCAATATCTGGCAATTTCGGATTATTTGTAAGCCAAAATTTAATGAAAACTGATAAAAGATTGACTGTATGGCAACCTCCGTTCCCGTCCAGAGTGTTCAAGGTTCGCGATTACGGTGTGTGCGCCCAGTCTTGGCGGGGGATTACCCTCCCCACCCTGGTTATTTATTTCGGTGGACTGCTCATTAACTGCAGGTGAGGAAAGGTTAAACACAGCAAGCAAGTTCACACAAGACTTGTCCCCTAAGCCTTCCAAAGACAGCGGATTACAGCTCAGCTGGCAGATGCTGCCTTGGATAACAATCCACACTGGAACAAAGGCAAAAAACTGCGCAGATAAAGTGAACGCCACAATGTGGAAGCCTGAATTCTAAAAACACTTGGAATTTAGTTTTTAAGTTAATTATAAACGACACACAATATGTTGTAAGCAGGGAAGTTAATTGCATTATTAAATTGGCGAGTCACACAAACTGCAGCTAGTAATTGTTCACATGTCACACCAATTATCATTATGATGCTGAGGCTTACCCCAGACGCATTGTATGTTCTTGGTCAATCTCCACAGCATTCTTTTGTAGTGATAGGCATATACTTTAAATTCCTCAAAGTTTCAATTAAAACGGAATGAATATCCATGTAAAAAGAAAGTTGTTGAAATTTGGAAAATATTTAAAGCTCTGCCTGCGTAGAGTTTATATAGGATGGGAAATTTTTCAAACGAGTTCAACCTTCATTTCACACCTCTGATGAGCAGTTGGCTTCGTATGATGCAAAAAAAGTTTAACATGCATTTTTCTGCTCTTTTATTACTTTTGTGGCAACAAGGTAAAAAGTTATCATGTTGATGGCAATCGTTTGAATGCTGAAAATAAACATCTGTAAAGCGGTTACAGGCAGTCCCTGGTTTACAGAAGGGTTAGGTTCCCGAGAACAAACCATAACCCAAATTTTCCGCATGTCGGAAACTGAACAATTTTCCCCCCCAACTCAAACATAAAATCCCAAAGTCGTAAATAGTTGTGCCTGCCCTACTGTTTTCTCTTAGTACTGTATCGCGCTGTTGCCCATCTTCTATCGTTACCTGGATCGTATCGCTGTACATACGCTCTGCACTTCCTACGATTTTTTCATTTCATCGAATATATCTACCCTAACACTACCCATAAATAAACTAATGGAACATACACTGTATCCAATTGTTTATGAATGCCACGAAACAATTTAATATTAATTGTTAAGAGAAAGCAGTCACTTCTGAAAGTAAATTTAGCGTGCATTAGGCTAGGCCAAGACTTCTCTAATCGCCGTTGGCTGAGACCATGAGCAATCAAAGTGTAACGGTGTTAAATAAAGCACATACAGTAATAACGCCTAAAAAACTATTTCAGAAAACTAGCAATAGAAACATGAGGGAAAAAAAGTTCTAAGCATAAAAAACAAACAATTACATAATGGAAAAGAATTACGTAACGCTACAAAAAACACCATTTGCCTGAATCCGAGTGAAACTCAGGCTTGGTGAAAGCGGCGTTTTGGTGGAGCGAGGTGTAAGGCAGTCAGCCACCTTACGCTTCGTGGTATTCATCCACAACTTGACCGTGCTGCACTGTTTTAGCTTACATAACTAAACGCAAACATTTCTGCATATTGATTTTTTTTACATGATTCATGGGAACATTTCCATAACGTCAAATTCCATAACTCAGGTCTTCCGCAATCCGGGGACTGACTGTATTTTTTTTTTAAATCCTTTATATTAAGTTCGCTTGCTTGCTTGCGTGCTTGCTTGCTTGCTTACGACCGTGCAAATCTTTCGGTCGTTTTTTAACCCACTTCCCGTGATCCAATCGAGCTGACATTTTCCACACAGACTCGTTGTGCGTGACAATTAATTTTCGTGCGAAAAAAAAATCCTAAATTTTACACTGTTTAGGGAATTTTTTAAAAATATTTAATTACCAATTGCTTAATGCTGGCAGACAATCATCTGACCCATAGGTGGCAGCCATCTCAAGCCAGAGGACGAGAGGACTCTAGCCACCACGCATATAAAGGATTTATAGTGAAAAACTTTGTTTTTACGGGTTAATTTTTTAAAAAATGTTCATATGCTTTGGAAAAGCAGTTCAATGTCACAATTCATTAAAATGTGTTTATATCATAATTTCTTGCACAAAATACAGAGAGTGCTTCACTTTAACAACTTACTATTATTGCAAAAGCAAAATACTGCCAGAGGGCAGTTTCACTTTGAGCTTTGAATTGGTACTGAATAATGAAATACACATGGGACGTCCGCCAATCCGCAGGGGTTATACTGTAATTACCCCAAATTGATTCAGCTCAAAGCTCAAATTACTACATTTGGCTACGGCAACCATACAAGACACCTGGCAGCAGTGCCTCGCCCCCTCCCCGATAAAGAATGAGAGATTGCAAAACAAAGCTGAACATTAATAGCAAATGTGAGCATTTGCCAGCACGCAAAACGTTCCCGTATACAATCGGGAACAATTATAGAGTTACGCCACATAAACCTATTCCAAGAAAAATGAGTCAACTATGAACAGACTGCCACAGAGCCACATGACCAGTTCGTTTTTACAAATCTTTCCATCACATAGTCTACAAGTGTAGGGGAATTCACATGGAGTCACCAACCTCGTCCCAATTAATGCACCCAGCTGCTGACTGTTAAAATGTCAAATGCGTTAACTCTGCACTTTCACCTAATCAATTATTTATGCTCTTATTAAAAGAAGAAGTCATACGTGTAAATTGTCTGCCAAAGTCACTGCTTATAAAACAGACCCAACCACTCAAAATGGCAGGAATGCAGTTCAAAACATGTTCCATCTCAAGGTGCAATATAAATTAGACAGTGCTCAGAATGATAAAATTCGTTCCAATGCAAAGGACAACACCACATCATCAAGGAAACATCTCAACAGGTGCAGGGCTGCGGAGTGATGTGGAGATGGTCTAGTACAGTACCAGCAAGGCAGACGGCACGAGTGGGGAAACGATGCCAGGAAGAAGAATGCAGAGCTTTGCCACACGCATACCTGATCTTTTTATAAGCGTACCCTCAGTCATTTGCTGTAATGATGGGGGTTTGCACGCATCACGTACCAGGTATCACATGTTACGCGCGTGCGCACCGAGCTGTACTCTTACTTGAGAGGCTCGTTGAAGCGGATGGTGGCAGCGCAGTGGAAGATGACGTTGATGGTGGCAACGAGGTGGTCCTCATCTGCAGTTGAGATTCCCAGCTTGGGCTGCGTCAGTTCGCTGTCCACCGGGATGATCTTAGCCTCGAATTCAGGCTGCTCCTGCCGCAGGCGGTCGAAGAGCTGCAAGGAGACAAGCGGCGGTGGATACGGGCAAACGGTCAGGAAGTCGTCGCTCTCGAGGACGCCGGGGGGACAATTGTATGGCAGATTCGCAGACAAATTCTAGGTCTTAAAGTTGGCCACAACTGAATCATATATATACACACACACACATTTATTAAATGTGCATTGCATAAAGTGATTTCCTGCGTAAATGACCACTGAAGCAATGTTCATCTTGGCCGCAAGCCAGTGGTGGAAATTCCACGTTCCTATGACGGGACCGAGTCACTCCTTATGATTGTTGATTTACCCACAAAGGGGTACGAATTGTATCGAACCCAGAGGGTCGATGGGCCGAGTCAACACCCAACCAGGATTTGAACACGTGACTTTCCGTGAGCAACTTGCTCTGCAGCTGAGCCACCTGGCGGGATTACGTGTGGGTCGTGGCAACGACTGCGCTGTTAGAACGTACAGTATTCATGGATGGACTCCCACTCGCGGCTGTAGGAAAATACAACACATTTAGTTTCTTGAACGGCACTTCACAAGGTTTGTAAACCATTGTCATGCAGTTAAGATTAGGAGAGGGTTCTTTTTTTAAAGCATGGATGTGCCAAAGGCAATATTTATCAAAAAAAAAATGTTTCACAGCAGAAAAGCCTTTCCTATAGCAAGAAGGGACGATTGTTTCTGAGGTGGCAAATGAAAAATATGGTTAAGTTATCTTATGAAGACACTGCACTTGTATTGCAGTTATATCCTTGCAGAATGTTAATAAGACACACTGGTAATGTGGATTTAATGAGCAACAAACTCGACGATTTGAACATTATTGCCTTCCAGTTTCGACATCAACGCTTGTGAATATCGCAGGCCTATCCACCAGTCTCCTTAGTTCAAGCTCTATTCGTGGGGACAATACTAACCAAATTATGAGAGAACAACCACCCGCTGTATCCAATTACCAAAGGCTCACCTGCCCGGGTCAGATAAGGCCAAGAACCACAATTTCCACTGTTGTGCTTTTAATGCTTTGGCCGTAACCAGGAAGCATTGTGTGTCAATGATAACAAATCCTCCAGGAGTAGCCCGTTTCATAAACATTCGAGTGACATTGTTAGAATAAAATGTAAATGCCATAGAGGCTGCTAAACTTAGCGGCGATACGCTTTTTTCACGTTAATGGCAATACATTAGAGAAATATGCATGAATCCAGAACAATCCTTCAGCAAGATATTTGAATTCCTATCTACGGAAACTAGTTCTCCATGTGTGTGTCGTCCAGTGCTCCAGACGGTGCATAACCCGATACTGAAGGTGCATTCAATCATAAAGTGTCAACTCCCAACCACCCAAGCCAATAGCCATGGCACCGCCATGCTTGCCAGGAAATGTGTGAATCCCACTCAGGGCCTGGGCGCAACGGTGGCGAGATGTTAACCATCTCTCCTGGTATGCAGGAGGTCGTGCGTTCGATCCAGACACCGACGCCTGTATATTTGGAGTTTGCATGTTTTCCTAGTGGTCAAGTGGATTTTTATCCAGGTCCTCCGGTTTTTCCCTCCACATAAATAAACGTGCGTTTCGAGTATTTGGCTGCTATACATTTCCACATGGTAAGCCACTTCGTTGAGCTATCATTCGTAGCCAGGTTAGCTTATGAAAAAGAGCTATATAGCTCTGTGGGCCTTCCCTGGTAAAATGAAAATAGTAAAAAGTTTCAAACAAAGAAAACATTTTCCCCAAATGGAGCTAATCATGGTTGTCAGTGTTATTATACATCATGTACAATGAGGTATAATGATTTAAATCTAATATCCTTTTCAGGCCCATTTAAAAATTAAAACACCACAATGGAGCTCAAACATGCTGATTCGCTCCCAACTGTTTCTAGAAACATGTTTTTAATACGTTTAATAATAAAGCAGCAAATTAAGATTTAAATTAGTGCCATGCCCACAAGGGCCCATTTATAGCCTTGTCCACTCACTGTGAAGCCGCTTCGTGTCACGGGACCAAAAGCACCCACCCACCCTGGGTTTCGTTTTCAAAAAATGTTGCCGAATCGGCCCGAATTGTAGCGGCGAGCTGCTAATAGCCTGGGGGCCGAGCGTGCCCACTGCAGAGAAGAACCCGTGATGTTGGGAGACAAAAACGGGTGCTCCCAGCCCCGACACAGCCAGAGATTGAAGTGGCCAATTGTGCGCCAAGCTTCACTAAATGGATGTTGTGCGACTCATGTGCTGCCCACAGCGAAAAAATTAAAATGTGAAGATCGCGTTCACGATAAAACGCCCTGCGTTGCCACCGACAACTTGATCTGCTCTCCCTTACATCAAAGCTTTGTTATCTCAATGGGCCCTCGTATGCTAAAATAAAGGCCTCCAAACGGAGCTGTTGCTTGGTGTCACACCACAGATGTGTAAAGACAACAACACATAAGCTCTTGATAAAACACATTTTGGAGGAATCGGTGATTCTAGCATCTGGGTAGGTTCTTTCAAGAGCCGTTTAAAGCCAACATTCACTCCCTTGGCAATCACGAACACAGCAGATTTCATGTTATTTAAATTATGAATGACCTTTTTTCTCACACTGCGCTCTGAGGCTGTGAGTATAAAGTAGTGCTTTAGAGCTTTTCATAATTATGCCCTAGGCGGAAACACTTCCGTATATAAATGTTCCCGGCCAAAATTCGTGGCATTTTGTATGCGTTTAGCGTGCATTGGAGGCCACTAATGAGTCTACAAATTTACACCCACGGGTGTATAGAATAATAACTTGAGAAAGAACACCCAAATGATCAAATGCAGCACTTCATCACGAAAATTAATGCAGTGCCGCAGGGTACCGAGTTTAATCAATGGCATTTTATACCGTTCAGTGGGATAAAACTAACCGTGTGGCTCCTCCGTCTCTGGTGGTAGTGGCACTCCCACAAAATACTCAGGCATTCCACATGCCCCGATACTGTACAGTAACGTATGCTGGCGTGATTCTTTCCTCGGGCATGTTGTAAAAGCCTCTGGCAATGACCCCAATTCACGGAGGTGCTCCCCCAAATGGCGCCACAAAAGCTCTTGGTCGATGCACGTGAATGCTCCCACGTGCACAGGTCGTGAAGAGCGGGCTCCACATCGTTCCCTGTGGATTTCGTTTCGGCTCATACCATCAGCGCAGCACTAACAGCAGAAGCTGTGAATGTTCATCATGTGTGGTTTATAATAATAATGTCTAGTTATTCATCCAGAAAAGCTCAGAATATCAAAGCTCTTCAAATTATTCTGCTTTGGGATGTTTGGAAAGTTCCTTTTCAAGGAGTGCTTTGCATGTGGGGGGAAAGAAACTGAATATCCATAAACAAGCCCATGCATATGATGGTTTAACATTCGAAGGTCCTCAGAGGCAAGTTCAAAAACACACTTGTTGCACTACCATATCCTGGGCACCTTGGAGCCACGAGGAGTTTTGAAGTCTCATAAATATACTGCGCATGATCTGCCAACCCTTGGCACCCCAGCGCTTGATTACCAGGCATGTGCGCCACCCACGCCTGGAATGTGGAAAATCGGTTGCGAAATCTGGCCTTGGGTGAGTCAGCCTCATGCAACCAACTGCAAACACTTCTCAAAAAAAGGCCGGCCAACTGATCCCTCACCTTGCAGCAGGTCATGAGCTTGATGCGCTCCTCGGGGCTCTGCCCTTCCTTCGGCCTCACCAGCACGTACAGCGACCCCAGCATGGGGCACGAGCGCAGAATCTTCTCCACCAGCACCTTGCCCAGAAACCCCGTGGCGCCCGTCACCATCACGTTCTTGCCGGCGTAGAAGTCGACCACGGATGGGACGGGGGCCCCGAGGCGAGCGCCAGATGTTGGAGGCCCCGTGTTCTGCTGCATCGAGCCGTACACCAGGCCACCGACACCACCTTTGGGCGCTGCAGGGAGGGCGGTCTGCGTGTCGTCGCCAAAGCCCGGCGACGAGAGATGCGCTGGCCCCGACGTGCCAAGCATGGCTGGGACTTTGAGGAGTGGGGCCTGTTCCATGCAGACAGATGAGCTCATGCCGTGCTCTGCTTAATTTGCTTGTCTTTTTGGTCCACTGTTCTTGCAGGATATGGGAAAGTCACGCTGTCAAGACAGTAAATACACAGAGGGTTTCATTTTTTTTACAAATGGCAAGCCAAAGGTAGCACAAAAACAACATCAAGTGAACCCAAGAGCCACCTAAAAAGCCTTCGTAAATCAACTTCGCACAGTGAATATGTTGCACTAGACAGTGCCTTTCGAGACTTTGGTAGCACTCTGTTCAAGGCAGAGCAAAGCATCAATAATTCATACTTAGGTGCTACTGCAAGCGCCAGCCACAAAGGCGGAACATTATTCCACCAATTACTGGATACCTTCAGGAAGAGAGCCATTGATGACAAATGCCTCAGCCTTGGAAGAGCAAACGTCTATCATGGAGTCAAGTTCACATGGGGAAAAAATATACTAAAATTGTGTGCAAAGCTGCTATAAATTGGCCTTCAAAGTCTGCTCTCATTTCCCTTTGTTTTTGCAAACAATGAGTGAAAATATGGGAAGTGGTTTCCTTTTGAGGGATTACCAATTTATTAAATGTGCATTTATATCATTATCCCTTTAAAACGCAGGTAAGTCAAATTGCCAAAATCCTCCTACACACATTAATATCGTGCACTGAAACCCTCCACAAATAGGAAGGGGTGTCATGTTATCCTCATTTGTTTTAGAATATACAAGTCACACTATTTCGAGCACAAGCAGATACGCTGGGCTTTCAGGCTGGGTTTCTGCCCTGTTCACAGTATTTGCAGGATGGTTGCTTCAATCCGTGTGCTCCAGATTCAGTGGCAGGTGGTCTCGCGGCAATAGCCAATAGATCCAGTTATAGCACAACTAGAAGTGATCATCTTGAAAGTATGGTATCGCATGTTGGTGTTGTGGTCAGAATGTACAAATGAAACGCCCATTGCAGTGCCCACAATCGCTACCCTAAGAGCCAGGCATCCCTGATATCAAACAACCTCAACAGCTTAATTGTTGTTAATGCTTGCACATATAATGAAGCAAACCGCAGGGATATAAATTTTTAAAATTAAATGTAGAAACATTACCGGAAAACAAAATGTCCAGATGATGCCGTGGCCTGACATGCCATTTCTAAAGTCAAGCCAACCACCACTCTACCCATTCCCCTGCCCTAACCACGACTGTAAATGTCAGCCCTCCAGCGATTCTGAATTTCGGCTCTCGGAATAACTCAAGCATTTTGCAGACTGCCAACAAGGAGGGCTGAACAGCCTGCAATTATCATCATTGATTCGGCATCCCCCTGCTGAACACGGGTGCAACACTTTTCCATTTGCAGCCATCTGGAATTATTTGCACATCAGGGGATGCATAAAAAAAATCACAGTTGCGATGTACTCACTCATGGCAATTCTTTAATGTGGTGCGAGAAAAAATAACCTCTTGTCCAAACATGGCATTCCTGGCAAATTTAAATAAAGACCAGAAGCGTTCAACAGCGATACTTTTTTTTTACCATGTACAGCTCTTTTGCCAAACCACTGCTGCAAAAGGTCAGTACGGGTCTATGAAATCAGAAAGCATAGAGGTTGACGACCATGGAACAGAGCCCATGACAACCTGGCATGCATTGTAACTCATAATTTTCATATTTAATTAATTATCTTAGGTTGACTATTTATTTAAAAGTTATTTTTATAACCAAAGATTGTTTTTAAATATATTCATTTATAATTTCTGCAGTGCTTCGAGGATATTTTATTACTTAAGGTGCGATAGAAAAATAAACATCGACCGATTGAGATTTATCTCTGCATAGTTTCCGAGATCTGACAAGATTGGGCACATTGATGGTGATTTTAGTCAAAGACACCTCTTTCCAGTAAAAAGCTTCAAACATATTCACTGAAATTGTATTATTTTCAGCGTCTTACATTTTCACATGCCCCTTTATTTAGTTGCTGGTAACCCTTTCCACATATCCTATAATGTTAACTGTATGACTAGTAGCTGGTCTGTAAGTGTGGTGTATCAGACTCCATAATGATTGAGGTAAGAAAAGACGTTTAAATGCAATCAGTGTAAAAACCACCCAGGACAGTACACACACCACCTCACCCTGGCAACAAGAAAATAATCCTCAAGTGTGACAGCAACTTTCCATTCTCGGTTGCATATGGTCTGGACCATCTAAAGGACAGCCATCTCGGTTTGAGAAAAATAAACTCGTGTGCTCTGGGTGTTAAGACGTCAATGATGTAACCATACTGATATGTAGGCTCTAAGAGTTGTGCTGTGAAGCTGTGATGCTTTAGGGTTGCACCGCAAATGTCCGGTATAATTTCCGAGTTTTCACTGCACGCGCTGAGGAGCTTCCAGCATGTGGAGCGACACGTCGGATATCCGCGGTGCAACGAAAACCAAATCGGAGCTACAATTGTGCGACCAATTTAGAATGAGTTATTGAAAAATGCAACCTAGGCAGCCTTAAATAGTAAAACTAACTATCCACACAAGCCCGTTTGATTCATTCTAGCTACCTGGCCCCAAGTTGATAGTATTTGTCAAAGAATGAAATTCACAATTTCTGAGAAACAGTTGAAGAAAGCACAAGGGGTTTCACAATCCCACAAACACACACAGGACTCTGCATATACTGAATAAAGGAGCAAAAAAATGCGTGTGTTGTTAGAATATACGACTACACTTAACGGCTACAATGAATGGGTAGCCACATTTATATTCACACCTGTTCAAAGTGTGTGTTAAAATGCTTGAAGCATAAATGCGGGTGCAGGCTGAATAGGGGGAAAAAAAGACTCCCTTGCGCATATCCCCAACAAGCCCTAGCACGAGATTAATGACTAATTGAAGCCGTGAGCAAGGGAATAATAATGAGCGTCATCGCGCCAAAGGTTCGGGAGGGACACCACCTCTCTCCCCTGATCACCATTCCCATTGTGGCCGGGGGCTTTGCACAAGGTGCCAATATCCGATGAACACACTCCAATCACTTGGCCTTGAGGTCCACTTTGTTTGACTTTCCTTTGAACGGAAAGCCACTTTTCAAATACCTGGGGCAGCATGGTCAAACCTATACAGAGGCTTGCCCACCACAATCCAGTGCGGGACATTTTTGTGCATTAAGTCTTAACAGTGATTCTCCAAAGGGAAAACTGAAAACAAAACTCCACGATGCCATGGAACAATTGATTCATCTTACCCCAGTTGGCATTGAAATAATTCCGCTTATTGGAATCAAAATACAACTTTAAAAAGTCGAGTGACTTATTTTTGTTCCTCTTTAACCGCCACGAATGGTGTTATGAACTTTGATTTTTATTTGTTCTACAGATTTTTCAAAAAAAATTTGTAAATGAAATAAAATGCACTTATTTTAACAATTAAAGTTAATTGTAACCTAGTCACAGATGCAGCTTATCCTCCAAGAGCTAGAATTAACAAATGGAAGTGTGGAAACACTCTAAGAGACACTGATCAATGTTTAAACATGAACTTAAGAAAACCCTCAAAACAGGTGTGGCGTTGTAAACTATTCCAATGATGTACATCCTACGTAATTAGCTGATCAACTGGAAATTAAGGATCGTTCCAGTAAACCAGATGCAGTGGTCAGCAATAAATGCCTGATGAGGCTTTTCACATGCACTCAGTGTCACCATAGCTCACGTTGCCTGTGCCAAGTGGAAACAAAAAGCAACGGATGCTTTAAACAAGCAGGCAACTGTTCCAAGTTCAAGTTGATTTTGTTTACACAGGTGAGAAACGCAAGAGGCCAGGGGTAGTCTTATTTGCAAGAGCCACTTTACGTACCCAAAATGAAGAGAGGTTCTGGGTCCACCTCGCTTTCCCATTGGCTCCTGCCCCTCCACTGGCCAGGGCCATCCGCGTCCACATACAAATGATCATTATGGCAACATAACACCCCAACAGCACATGGGCGGCTATGGCTGGAACATCGTGTCGACGTCAGAGCAACGTTCCCATGGGCACACAGGTGACAGGCTCGCACAAGTCTCACATGCAGCGCACACGCAGACATGCAGACATACATTAATATTAATAATATAACCACACCTTTTGTTTACATGTCAGTGTACAGTATCGTCTTCTATGTGTACAGCACATGTATAATACACAGTACTGTACAAAGACTATACATACAACACATGCATATCACTACAGTACATATATAGTAGAAAGTATATGTCTTCAATATACAAGCTTAAAAATATGGCGTCGTTAGCACTTCATCTCTCAAAATGTTGGTCACAAGATCAGCGCCGGTGCTGATATTTAGCGGCGATGTCGACATTGAGTTTTCACATCCGACTCTCCGCGTGGGGAAAATGAAGTTGACACAAATGTCGACAAAGCCAGTTTTGGCGATGGAAATTGTCGGCACCCTTGCGGCGACATATAAACCAGCGTGTGTTTAAAAGCCCCCAATGAGCGGCTGATGAGGAGGAACCTGCCGATGCACTCACACGAACTCAGCACTGTGCGCAGGATGCAATGTTTCAGAGCAGAGGCTGCCCCTCAAGCAAAGGTTGTCTTCACACTAATTTTGCTTGTCAAAACATTCGCAGATCGTTACGACCACGACTAGGCGCAAGTGAATTCAATTAATACAAGCACCCTCAAATGCGTACATTGGAAACAATGCCAACAGATGGATCAATGTGGCCGGCCACATGGAGGTGTTAATGTACACAAAGAAATAGCAAACCCACAAAAAATCTACTTTGCTATTCTAAACTTCCTATTTAACTGCAGATAGGCTTTTTTTAATGTAACTTTACTCATAGCTATTAAAAATGCCACTAAAACGAATCCAGGTCGTAAATGGAGCTGGCTGTAATTGATATCTCTACAAACCTTGGCCAAAGCCTGATGGAGTTTTGTCAAAAGCCATATATGGTGGAGCTGCACCGGGTGCTATTTGCTGTAACCTTTAACTTAAGAATACAGGGAGAAGCAGGCGTGACGCCCAGAGCTCTCCGGTTTCTCCAATATGCGCCGATATAAATAAAACAAAAAAAACCTGGGCTTCGCTCCGTACCTTGCTCTTCATGCACGGTTGGCTACGTATGGTGCAAAAGGCGTTCAACATACATACACACATACTATTGCCAATTCAGAATTTACTCAAACGCCCCCGAACAAGGCAACTTTATTCAGCCGTCCGGGCATTGAACGACAGATAAGCACCAACAGGGGAAAGCAAGAAAAATAAGAAGAGGTTTTACTCTTTCTGGCAATAAAAAACGAAGTGTTAAGATGTTCAAACACCAAATAGAAACCTTTTAGAAGGAATCAAGTCTGCATTAACCACACGTACTTGTGGTGAACATGCAAACGAACATGCTCTGGTACTATGTGCATTGTCTTTGAAACTGATTGGCCTACACACCAGCGACAGACTTCTTTATGGCCTAGTCTCACCAGGGGAGCAACCTGCAGGAACTTCACTTGCGATGGGCTAGATGAACGTTACATGCACTCTTGCAAGAGGTATAGGGTTCTTACGAGGAAATGCTGCGAGAAATTTGACATCCACTTGTTTCGGGTGATGAAATGCAATTTGGATTTGCGCAACTTCAACTGTATAAACTGTGCACAACTCAAAAAATATATTGACATTATTGTTATGAGATTATGGTTCAAATTATTATATCATACAGATACACAATTATTGTGAATCAGAACAAAGCTCTTAATCATTGGTACATTTGTAAAAAGCCTTCACACATTCCCACGTAATCCTGTGCAGTATCGCTGCAAATATGAGCAGCCCATTTTTAAATGAGAGTGCTTTCTGTCGCATCCAACAGCTAAGTGCTATCTATCATTGATGCCTTCTCATCCAGCTGTCGGACAATCTGATCAGTCTGTCACAGAGCAGCAAGCCATACGATTTAAAAGGATAAGCTTTCGAATGCTTTTAAATGATGACAAGAGACACTTTGCAATAGCTGCCGCTGAAGTTTAGTTCCAGGAAGAAGCCCTTTTCACACCAGCCCAGGCACAATAAAAAACACGTTATCCCTATCATATGTGTGCAGCCAGTACACACGTGTGCTGTAATTGGGTGACTGTAAAAGTGCGTTTTTTTACTTAACACAATAATAGCAAGCCTTGATAATGTTGGCCGGACTCTGGAAGTTAGCTGCATAAATCAGGCTTACATTACATGTCATTTATAGGTAACAAGTTTGCATATTTTATGTACACAAGATTATCTCTGTATCAGATAAAAAAAAACACGCAAGCTTTGTTTTAAAAACTATTGCAATTGTTACTTATTTATTATTTCCTTTAAAAAAATGTCTGCAAAAAAATTGTATAGCTATTGTGGGCCATATGTATGTTCTGGCCGAGAGTCATAAGGGTTCTAACAAACAACGCAATGTATTTCCAACCTGATAATACTTCACACAGTAACTTGGGACGATTTACAATTTTTTTTATTAATCAAAAATCGAAGGTTATAGGGGGCTGCCACGCTAATATTTGACATATTAAGCATCATTTTGTCAGAATGCACATATTGCCCTGGTGCTCATGTAATTTCCACGCCTCCCTTAACTGCGTAACTGCAAAGTACACGGGAAGAGTCCGATTATCCTGCACCCTAATTAACGACAAGCCAACTCGCATAGGGGGGACAGTGGTCGCGGTGTTGTGCGTCAGCGCCTCACCTGCGCTATGGTAACGTCAGCCCTCCAGCGACGTCTTAAAACAAACGTGGCAGCACAGACCAGTTGCGCTTGATGGCCACGTGTCCTGTAACGAAATTCCCCAGGTCACGCATGCTACAGTGAACAGACAAGTCTAAATTTACACGGGGACTACAGCTACAACCAGACTCGCGGTAAGTCAGCTCGTGTCGCCACGGGGCTTGCCAAATACGCAAACAAATTCTCGGTGCAGCAGCGTGATAAGTATTATACACCAGGCCTGCATTCTATCAGGAAGTTAACATCTCCTGAGTGCTAGCAATATGGAAAATGCATGTACATTAAGCAAAAGTCAGAAGGTGCAAGCACTTATATCGTGCAATAAATGCTGTACTGTGTTCGCGTAACAAAATATTGCACTATAATATGACATGTATTTTTTTATTGTATATAACTGACTATTGTTGGCTCAAACATTCAATTCTAATTCCAAATTACTTGAAGCAACGAAAAGGGGCACGGTGTCCTCCAACATTAAAACCTTTTAAGGGAAATTGGTCAAATAATAATCTCTGAAATTCTGTGAATAATCTGAGGCTATCATTGGAAAAAAAGATTCAAATTACCTGTGGTGCAGTATTATAATTTGTCAGAGAAAAATGTGTTTTTAAACGTGAACATATATTTTTATTAACGTGTCACAGTAATTAGCCCACGTGTCAGCAGCATTTGCCAGACATCAAAGAGTATGATTTAAAAGTATAATTCTGTAGTTTAACACGTCAGCTTTCGCGACCAATATCATCCATAGGCGACCTAACCCAAAATAAATCTATATTATGGATAATTCTGTAGTACTGAAAATACTATTAGGAAAGAGCTTGATGAAAAGTGCCGTTAACAACAATACTGTACATCAAGAACATAAAACTGCAACCAAAAATTTTGTCCCAAAAAAATGAGGTCGCAGTTCCCACAATTATAATTTGTATTTGCAATTATAAAGTATTTGCAACTGTTTACAGCGGATTACAAGGGCTTCATGAACCATGCCAGAGATTCTCTCATTTCGGAGCGGTTAAGCGAGCTACTATCATGATTCTTTTATTCCATTCGTTGTTGCATTTGAGTTTGTCTGGTCATTTTTTTTCTCCACAATAACGATGGTCAGTGTTTGCCCGCGATGAGATTAGATAACCTAAGTCCCTACAAGTGGCGCCTCGGACGCTTTCATCTGTTAAGTCAAAGCGTGCCTGACAAGTTCAAGTTCTAGGTATAGCCCTGTGAGCCATTCGGCTCTTGAATTGGGTGCAACCGCAACAAACAAAAAACAAAAACATGAACAAGAAAACATCTTAAAGTGAATATGTGACCAAGTGCAAACAGAAAATCCAAGAAAAGACAGAAAAATATTGCAGAAAAAACACCGTACACCAACGCTATGTGCAAAAATCACAGTGGGATGCAAGTCAAACAACAACAACACAACATAGATTAAGGCCATCAGTCTTACTCTGTACTACAACAAACAAACATGGCCAAACCAAAAAACTTTTCGAAATCACCAAAATAAAGCCATGAAAGCAATGAAACAGTGATCATAGGAACTGTGATGGAATTTTAACAATAAACAACATGTACTACCAAGAGGCTACTGTGAAATAGTTTGACTCGCCAAATCGGATTAATTAGTCACCTTCTAGACCACTTGGCACTCGGTCGGGAGTGATGGGTAGAACACGGAGAATCGATGTCGAAGAGACATGTTGCGAAATTGCCCCCACCCTGGGTGCGTGGTGTGCTGTGTGTAAGGGCGCATTCCTGCTTGAGGAGAGGTCGGTAGCGAAAGAGACCAAACCTGAATGTCGATTGAGACGGCCTAAAGCTTGAGCTAACATATCAACTGTCTGGGTGGAGTAGGGCCCTGGCAACAGATGATGTTTATTTAAAAAAAAACCATGCGACGGGTTCTCTAGGGTGCACATTTTAAGGGCCACAAGCACACGCATCCCTACACCAAGACGTTCTTTCAGCGCATATTGAAATCGTGTCAAGGTCTTTGATGAAGAGCAGACCTGTCTTGTGCCAATATATTAATTGGACCTGTAGCAAAAGCAGCCCGCATTGTGTTGTTGAAGGCCTCTGAAAGCAAGTGTATGTACCTATTTTAAAAGGTTGGTGCCACCTTGATTTTAACAAACTCTTGAAATACCGTCAAGTGTACGCGTTCATTCTATAAGCATTGCAAATTACCCTTAGCTGTATATTTTAAGGGGATATTTAACGTTGAAGGCAAGCCGAGTTAAAAAAAGATATACCAAATGACTTACAATGAGCTTTTGGCGAGTGCCGTTGAACTTACACATTTGAATGCACCGCAAATCAATGGTTAGATGCAAAGGAAAGTCAAGTGCAGTCGATAACCCCGTGGAATGCAGCCTCCGACTTACACACACTCTCTGTTCAGCAGGAGGTGCCTGCCCGTGTTGCCCATCTCTCTCTCTTTTGGGCAGAGGTCGCAAACGGGTTTTGATTCCTTACCCGTGCCCGTACCCGGCCGCACCAGGGTCGCAAACGGGTACCCGTACCCGGCCGTACCCGTACCCTACCCGTAGGGTACGGGTATCGGGTACCTGATTGCGACCTCTGGGATGAAGCCATGTTGCAGGTGCGGGTGGGTTGATTCTAGGAACTTGAATTGTGAGAAGAGACAAGACGTTGGGAAATGAGTGACAAACAGTTACTCACCAGTGACTCACGGCCTACCCGTACCCGGCCGGGTACGGGTAGCCGGGTATCGGGTAGGGTACGGGTATCGGGTACCCGGTTGCGACCTCTGCTGTTGGGCCTCATGGTGGAGACACAGACACGCCGTGCCGCTCGATGCCCACCACCCCGCACCACCTTGCACCCCCCGTGCCCTCGCGGCTCGCAATGGCCCCGGGTTTTGCTTGGCTTCGTGCCACCTCTAGGCAAGTCGCCACCCCCACCAGCCCAGCTCTGCCCAACATCTGCCATGACATATCTCCCCCCGAGCACGAGTGAACGTCGCTGGAAAAAAAACGTTTTCCTCCCAACATTGTTTTACACACACACAATGAGCCCCCCCCCCCCTCGCTTTGTTACAACAGTAACTCCCGTTTGTTTCCTTTTTATTCGGAAAGTTTCTCCCCCCCCCCTCGTTCACCCCCACCCCCCATCGTTCAACTCTTTTAATTTGAAGAAAAAAAACTATTATCACGCCGAGAATCCCAGAGAAAGTAGGATGCGTACAAATTAGATTCAAACTGGTTTGTAACATCTGCCAGTCCACTCGTATCTTACGTTCCAAGAACAGCACAGGAATTGTACGCAGCTACAACAAAAAATATCAACGCACCCTTCGTCAAATGTGCACGTACAAGTTAAAGTCTGCAGGTGTCAGAGAATTAACCTTTTGTCCTGCAACGAATGTCATTCACATTGCATGGTGGCTTGACAGTGAAATGCAATTTCTTTCAAGTTCATTGTTAACATGGGAACGGATAAGCAAACAACTTTTACCCGACAGTTGAGCAATGTTGACCAATAAAAAAAACCCCACCGCCTAAAACGGTGCACAGGCAACAATTGCCTCTGAAAATCACAAGGGTGGCACAGTCGGTTTTTTTACAATCGGGTTTAATTGTCTTTTTATATTAAACCCGATCATCTGAGATTGGGAGAATTCCGGTTTCATTGGTTCTAATTACAGAACCGCACTTCGCCAACTTCTCAACGATGGGCTTCATCCATTCCAAGCTAAGGAACTCACTGGCAGTGCCCACGATTGTGGAGAAGCTCCTCCTCGTGTTCATCAAGACCAACCTGCCCGCCGCATTCTACGACTACCCCGTGTGCCCGATGCCCCCCCGAGTACGATAGCAGCACCGACGAGGAATCAGCCTAAGCCTTGGATCAGAGTTTCGTATTCATTAAACCAGGTTTTAACTCCCCAAAATCGGGTTTAATTGTATTAAAGAAAAAAACCCGATGCCTGCCGCTGTAAAAATCGGGTTTAATTCCACCCATGGCAAATCAGAGTAATCCTGCACCCCCCACAAACGACAGTACATTCACACACACACACCGTGCCACAAATATATATATATACCACAGTGTACTCCCATCTGTCTAAACCCCCCAATGTCGCAGTACACTGAAATGAGTGGGCAGATGGAATGCATTGCTCTCAATCCAATCATTATTGAACGAAGAAAGGCCACAGCTGTTGAGCCCTTGCTTCATTAAATTGCCATAAACGCTCCCAGTATTAAATCCTGCATTCACTGGCCACCCACACGCACTCACTTCCCAATCATCTGCCTGCTTGAGCCAGATATGAAGTGACAAGGCAGCTAATTAGGTTGAATGAGTTCAGACTTTTTGAAGTGTGGAACAAAAAAAAGGTACCTATGGAGATAATAGACGCAATAAAACCAAATTAGACCGGTCCAAACGACCAGATGCTGTATATAAAACCCATACTCCTTGAATAGTATTACCATTAAGATTAGGATTGTGGGATAGGAACCACGATAAGAGACACCGCAAACCAGAGATCATCGCAAAACCCGGCGATTGATCCCAGACACAGAAAAAAACCTGCTCAGCGAACTAGAACCCATGTGGTATTGTGGGTTCTATGAAATATAAAGACACTTTGAGAGACCCGTGTCCCAGGACTCCACCTCCTGATCTCACCCACGAGTAATCCCGACCGCGAGTGAGAAAAGTTCCAGGGGTCCCCCCCGTTCCCAGAGAGACCAGGACCAGACTCTCAGCTTCCCCGGAGAGACACCGAGACCTCGAGGAGGTCCCAGGGGGAGAGACCAGACCCCAGGTCTCATCGTGTCCCCACGCCGCGTCCTCGTGGAACCCGCCTGGACCACCCCGCCCGCCCGCAGACTCGGCGCCGTACCTCAATGGAACGCAGAGCAGAGAAGCCGTCGCGAGTAGAACTATGGAAGCTGACCGCCCTGCAGCTCGTGGACACGTGAGATTGTATCGCTGTTGAGGACCTCGACACCGAGAGGATGCTGATGCTGTTGGTGATGTTGGTGTTGCTGCTGCTGCCCATGCGCCTGTCACACGCCGACCCCCGTCGTCGCCATGTTATGCGGGTCCCGCGACGTCAGCGCGCGAAGGCGTCAAGGTTGGGCGAGCGTGATGACGCAACCACGCCTAGAGCGGTGCGTCGTGACGTCACCGCGCAAGAACGAGCGTGATGACGCAACCACGCTAAGAGCGGTGCGTCGTGACGTCACCGCGCAAGAGCGAGCGTTATGACGGAACCACGCCTAGAGCGGTGCGTCGTGACGTCACCGCGCAAGAGCGGGCGTGATGACGCAACTACGCTAAGAGTGGTGCGTCGTGACGTCACCGCGCAAGAGCGAGCGTGATGACGCAACCACGCCGAGAGCGGTGCGTCGTGACGTCACCGCGCAAGAGCGAGCGTTATGACGCAACCACGCCTAGAGCGGTGCGTCGTGACGTCACCGCGCAAGAGCGAGCGTGATGACGCAACCACGCCGAGAGCGGTGCGTCGTGACGTCACCGCGCAAAAACGAGCGTCATGACGCAACTACGCTAAGAGCGGTGCGTCGTGACGTCACCGCGCAAGAGCGAGCGTGATGACGCAACCACGCCTAGAGCGGTGCGTCGTGACGTCACCGCGCAAGAGCGAGCGTTATGACGCAACTACGCTAAGAGCGGTGCGTCGTGACGTCACCGCGCAAGAGCGAGCGTTATGACGGAACCACGCCTAGAGCGGTGCGTCGTGACGTCACCGCGCAAGAGCGGGCGTGATGACGCAACTACGCTAAGAGTGGTGCGTCGTGACGTCACCGCGCAAGAGCGAGCGTGATGACGCAACCACGCCTAGAGCGGTGCGTCGTGACGTCACCGCGCAAGAGCGAGCGTGATGACGCAACCACGCCTAGAGCGGTGCGTCGTGACGTCACCGCGCAAGAGCGGGCGTGATGACGCAACCACGCTAAGAGCGGTGTATCGTGACGTCACCGCGCAAGAGCGAGCGTTATGACGGAACCACGCCTAGAGCGGTGCGTCGTGACGTCACCGCGCAAGAGCGAGCGTGATGACGCAACCACGCCTAGAGCGGTGCGTCGTGACGTCACCGCGCAAGAGCGGTGCGTGGTGACGCAACCACGCAAGCGCTTTGGGGAAAAGATGGCGTGGTGACGTCATCGCGTAAGAGCCGTCTGTTGAACGCTGCGCTTGGGGTCCCTGGCTCTGGCGCGGTGACGTCACGACGCACCGCATTTTGCGTGGTTGCGTCATCACGCTCGCCACTTTTAACGCCGCGCTCAGGCGCCTCTGGCTCTTGCGTGGTGACGTCAGGACGCACCGCTCTAAGGCATGGTTGCGTCATCACGCACCGCTCTAGGCATGGTTGCGTCATCACGCTCGTCACCTTTTAACACCGCCCTAGGCGCCTGGCTCTTGCGTGGTGACGTCAGGACGCACCGCTCTTGGCGTGGTTGCGTCATCACGCTCGCCATCTTTTAACGCCGCCGTCAGGGTCCTGGCTCTTGCGTGGTTGCGTCATCACGCACCGCTCTAGGCGTGGTTGCGTCATCACGCACCGCTGTTAGCGTCATCACGCACCGCTCTTAGCATGGTGACGTCATCACGCTCGCTACCTTTTAACGCCGCGCTTGGGGTCCCGGCTCTGGCGCAGTGACGTCACGCTCTCAACAGCGCGTGACGTCACGCTCTCAACAGCGCGATTAGAATTCCCATCGCGTGTGTCAGCGTGGCCCCGTGGCGTGCTCGTTGCTGATTGGGCCGAGAGGAGTAGAACGCGGCTCATGTAAACGTTTAAATAATATCGATTTAAAGCTTTCGTGACTGCAGGGATTCATCTTCTTGGTTCTTTCGGTAAAGTCACGTAGAAGGGAAGTCATAAAAAAATAAAACATAATAAAATAATTATTTTATTATGTTTTATTTTTATTACGTGACTTTACCGAAAGAACCAAGAAGAAGTTTAAATAATAATTGTCAGTGACTGAAAATGTTCGATTCTTACTCCCACTGGGCTAGTTTTGTGCAATTGTAAAGTCAATGGCGATTATGCTATCGCCTCCACCATAAGAAAGTGGAATGTTACACTATTTATTGGTTTAGCCATGTTTGCTTGTTGTAGTACAGAGTTAGACTGATGGCATTAATCTAAGTTGTTTTGTGGTTGTTGTTGGTTGTTTGACTTGCATCCCACTGGGATTTTTGCACACGGCGTTGGTGTACAGTGATTTTTTTCTGCAATATTTAGCAGTCTTTTCTTGGTTTTTCTGTTTGCATTTAGTCACATATTCTCTTTAAGATGTTTTCTTGTTCATGTTTTTTGTTTGTTGCGGTTGCACCCGATTCAAGAGCCGAATGGTTCACAGGGCTATACCTAATAAATGAACCTGAACTTTACATTATGATGCTGGCTTCTGTTGATGCTTTTATTAAATACTGATGCCATATGGTCGAAGGGCAGCTACTGGTTAATAGGAAGACGTTTCCTTTTGTTGACTTGCTTCAGATCTGACCCTTTCACTCCATCTTGTATCTTTTACCCTAAATTTTTCTAATTAATTGTACCTGTCTCTTCTCAATCTCCTATCGATATATCCTATTCTCTATCTCGCTTCTTTTCTGCTTCCACGATTTTAACTGAGGGCTTTTACTAAATTATTTTGTGTTAATGTCAATCGCTTGGACATTGTGATCTTCGGTTTTGCGCTATCCCTGTAACCATTGTTTAAAATATAAAAAATATATATAAAGCACTGTAGTTTACACTGCTGTATGTGGAAGGCATTCACGTGCTGTTTCTGTGATGGGACTTGTTTGATGATACTACCCACTGCTCAGTGCAGGGTGGTGAACACTGCATATTGTTAAAAGCATTCCTGAAATGCAGTAGAAGACCTTCTGAACTCGAATGGGCTGTTGGTAAGGCTCATGTTAGTAAGAGATAATGTCACAACAACGAGCTCTGATGCCACTTCATTGTGCTACTTTATCCCCTGCAAAAATTGGTCGCATTTATAATTTAAAAAAACCTTTAAATTATTACAGCTGGAATAAGCCATTGTAGCGCAACGCAAATTTAGAACGATGGATTTTTTTCTATAATCATTGGTTACGGAGTTGAGAATATCAACTCACTACACTTGAGTGAACCAATGTATTCAACTGAACCTCGGTTCTCAATCATGCCGGCTCGGTGATCTGAGCCCTGAGACACCGAACCACATATTATTGAAATGAAGGCCACAGTTAGATCAATATAAACTAATTTATTTACCACTTTTTTGTGTCTAGTTTATTATCCTTCCCCCGCACCTCCGATTAGCACGGTTGGCTACGTACGGTGCGAAAGAAGTTCAACATACAGTACATACATATAATTAACCCATAGGTCACTGTAAGATAGCAGAATCTGTCTGTGTTTCGCTAATATCCAGCTTTTTTTTCTTGCAGCCTGAGCGCCCAAGTACACAACCTATGATGCCACTGCACAGATGTCCAGGCACGGGGCATTGTCCCTGACGAGTCTCGTGTCATGTCCACGCCACTCGTTCCCACCAATGTCACCCCACACCACACCACGCCCATGCACCCTTGCCCTGGCCACCCATGGTAAAACTTCCTTAAACACCCGCAGTTCAACATATCCTGTTTAGCAACGTCAAACCTATGTGTGCACAACATAATTCTGCAACGGTTGTCAAGAAATACTGCTTTCAAAGTGACGCAAAAAATTCAACAGGGTAATGTTTTTTTGGAGGGGCCAGCCATTCTTTGGAGCACAACGATGGTGGAAAGATTGATTCACTTATTTTCTGTCGTTGGAAATTCGCACTTTACAATGTGATGCTTAGACAAGTGTTCACATGTCAATTCGAAATATAAAAATACTATGTCAACTTTCTTCAATCGTGTATATCCTTTCGAAGCACCGTTCTGTGAACTGCAATCTCCAGCCTCGAAGCAAATTTGTGTGTTCTGTTTTGGATGTGAATACATGTCATTGCTTGAAATGTTAGCCTAGTGTACTGCAAGTGTACCCTAATTATACATTCTTTAAAATAGCAGTGATGGCAGTGGTTTTGAGCACTTTTCAATTGCATAATTAAACATTATTTGGTAATGCTTCATTGGTAGTGGCATACCATCACAAATAACACGCCACTCATTCATCAACAACGCTGTGGCATTAAAAATGTAATATACATCATATACCATCGGTTGTAATTACTGGCGAAACGTCGTACTCTAATTGCAAATGCTGTGGGTTTACTCTGCAACATACCGATGTGCTGAACTAAAAACGAATTGGCACGCTTTGTTTACGTGACCAACCTTACTAAATTGGCTGTGTCGGGTGGTGGGCGGGTTTAACTACACGTTCATATATCCACGATGTAACATATTTTGCCTATTGAGGCAGCGTTGTCGACGAATGTGTCGAGTTATTCGAATCGTACGATGGGCCCCCAAAATGCGTTTGAGTGAACACAGTTCGTCGGCAAAGTGTGGCAAGGCGCACGCGCGTTACGCGACGGTCCGAAGGGACGTGAGCCCCTGGGTTTTGGGACTTGCTGAAGTCACAACCCATAACCCGGTCGGTGCCCTGCTGAAATTGCGCAAACAACCACGTCAGGCCACATCGCCCGGTGGTGGCGACTCGTGGTGACCCTGCCTCGGGGCAGCCAATCGCGGGGAGGAACACCGCAAGTTGCTTGCATGGCTCAGAGCAAATGCACACGCTAAATAATTAACAAATGGTGTTAATACTCTTAGGTTTTTTTCGGTGAAGTCACGTAGGTAAAATACATAATAAAAATCAAATAATAATAAGATTTGTATTATTATTTTATGCTTAGAAATAAACAATAAAAATAAAAGAATAATAAGATTTTTTTTATTATTTTATAATTTTTATCATTTATTTTTACCTACGTGACTTTACCGAAAAAAGCCTAATAAAATAATAATAAGATTTGTATTATTAGTTTATTATTTTATTACTTATTTTTACCTACGTGACTTTACCGAAAAAAACCTAAGAGTATGAATCCTTGCAGTCACGAAAGCTTCAAATCTAAATGGTGTAATAATTAAATTAT